CCTGAGAACGGGTTGCTGCCATGGCGGCATTGACACTTGGTTCAGGGGTGTCACTCTATATACTCTCGGGGGTCTGAGCCGCTCCCCAAAAGCTGACTTGAGCCTCTAGAATGCTCCTCGGAGTCTTCCCTCCCCCCCCCCCCCACACCACCCAAATGCATATGAGCGTGAAGGGGACTACTGATCCTATGAAATGCAACTAGCGTATGAACTGCTGGTACACTAGATACCTAAACACATCACTACCAATATCATCGTTATCAAATACCATCATTATCTTCATCACATCGGTTTCAGATCGGAAGACATTGTTCAACATCAAAACAGTTTTGAAACCGACGACATGCTTTTTATTCAGATTTTGGCATCAAGACTGCAAAGCAGTTGCCGAAATCCGGGGAGAAATGAAGATCTCGGGATATGTTACGTCACCTTTATTGACTCAGATCCCCCTTACACCTCCACCGACGTCCATCCACTGACGTCACTGTACTGGGCCGCTCCCAAGACCCGGTACCACTCTCTCGCTAACGGAAAGTTTGCCAGTCAGCAGTGAGGCTATCAGCTCTTAATCTTTGCCGTATGTTCCGTGGGCAGCGCTCACCTTTCAGGTTTTCGGCGATCACCTCGACGCCTTCGTCCGTGATTTTGGAGCAGCCCGAGAGGCTGAGCACGCTCAGGTTAGGCAGGCTGTGCACTGGAACAGAGGGTGCCGGGTCAGAGGTGACCGGCCACAGCACGGACATGGCACACAGCGGCGTATGATGGGTAGGCCAGTGCAGCACCTGACCGACCGGGGAGACCAGAGCAGCACCGGACCTATCGGGGAGACCAGAGCAGCACCTGACCGACCGGGCAGACTGCAGCAGTACCTGACCAAACGAGGAGACTACAGCAGCACCTGACCGACCGAGGAGACCAGAGCGGCAGCTGACCGACCGGGGAGACCAGAGCAGCACCTGACCAACCGAGGAGACTACAGCAGCACCTGACCGACCGAGGAGACCAGAGAGGGGCAGCTGACCGACCGGGGAGACCAGAGCAGCACCTCACCGACCGGGGAGACCAGAGCAGCACCTCACCGACCGGGGAGACCAGAGCAGCACCTGACCGACCGGGGAGACCAGAGCAGCACCTCACCGACCGGGGAGACCAGAGCAGCACCTGGCCGACCGGGGAGACCAGAGCAGCACCTCACCGACCGGGGAGACCAGAGCAGCACCTCACCGACCGGAGAGACCAGAGCAGCACCCGGCCGACCGGGGAGACCAGAGCAGCACCTGACCGACTGGGGAGACCAGAGCAGCACCCGGCCGACCGGGGAGACCAGAGCAGCACCTGACCGACCGGAGAGACTACAGCAGCACCTGATCGACCGGGGAGACTACAGCAGCACCTGACCGACCGGAGAGACTACAGCAGCAACTGACCGACCGGGGAGACTGCAGCAGCACCTGACCGACCGGGAGTATCAGAACGGCACCTGACTGACCGGGAGTATCAGAACGGCACCTGACCAACCGGGAGTATCAGAACGGCACCTGGCTGACCAGGAGTATCAAAACGGCACCTGACCGACCGAGAGTATCAGAACGGCACCTGGCTGACCAGGAGTATCAGAACGGCACCTGACCAACCGGGAGTATCAGAACGGCACCTGACTGACCGGGAGTATCAGAACGGCACCTGACCAACCGGGAGTATCAGAACGGCACCTGACCAACCGGGAGTATCAGAACGGCACCTGACCGACCGGGAGTACCAGAACGGCACCTGACCGACCGGGAGTATCAGAACGGCACCTGGCTGACCAAAGAAGCACATGGCCGTCCGAGAAACGGAACCAGAGAAGCGCATGAGCGACCTAAGATAGAGACCAGAGACTGTTCCATAAAAGCGAAATGCCTTCGTCTGTCTCCTTCACTCTATCTTATAGGATTCACCCAACGTTACATATCGTTACCCTACAACAATGCCCCATTGAAGCTCCTCAACAGGGCCTGTCTCAGCTCGTGCCAAACAATGCCATTCAAGCCATCTGCAACACGAAGCCGCGGCGTTCCGAGTCGTCCGTTCATTGACAGACTTATGACGTCACAGCGGCGGCGCGCCACTCGAAGCCAACAGGGGATGAGCCCACCCAAGCGCTGGTCCGGACTGACAAGGTCACCCCATGACGTCACCGGCGCGCCGAACAACGCTCCGCTCCATCGGCGTTTGGCATTCGGGAGTGACACAAGGAATGCAGGTGACTCTGGGAGGCCCAGGGTCTATCAGCTGACGGTGGGCAGACAGCTGATGACCGCAGACAGCTGACAGTGGACAGAAAGCTGATGACAGACAGTTAACGATAGACAGACAGCTGATGACGGACAGGTAAACGGCAACAGATGCCGGCGATGGACGGTGGGTGACAGAAAGGATGGGGCAGACAGGCAGCTGGAGACGGGAGACAGACAGCTGGGGACGGGAAGACAGGCAGCTCCGGACGGGAAGACAGGCAGCTGGGGACGGACAGGCAGGCAGACGGGGACGGGAGGACAGGCAGCTGGGGACGGACAGGCAGACAGACGGGGGCGGGAGAACATTCCTGAAATGCCGACAGGCTTGCAACTGGCTACGACCAGGCAGTTGTCGGCGGCATCTGGCGGCTGGCGTACAACTGGGGATGGATGAGGAGCCAAGAACAAACAACCAGTAAATAGGAGAGAGAGAGAGAGTGAGAGAGAGAGAGAGAGAGAGAGAGAGAGAGAGAGAGAGAGAGAGAGAGAGAGATAGAGAGAGAGAGAGAGAGAGAGAGAGAGAGAGAGAGAGAGGAGAGAGAGAGAGAGAGAGAGAGGAGAGAGAGAGAGAGAGAGAGAGAGAGAGAGGAGAGATAGAGAGAGCTGAGGACGAACTGATTGGCGTGGCCTCTTGCCACACCGATCTTGCATGGCATCCATCAGCTATCAGCCATCAGGATAGTCATATATCTGCCATCTTCCAGAGCACGGTGTCAAAGCATTTCAACGCGTCATTTTAGTCAGCTTAACGGAAAATACACGACGCTAGCCCCGTTTTTTTTATAAAGCCCATGTAGTGAATCGCTGGGCCTGAGACAAAAGGTTTTCACGTTTTATTTTCCGCCATCCCCGCTCCATCCCCCTCCCCCCCCCCCCCTGTCTGAGAGCAGCTGTGGACTCGCATCCGCCCGCTGGGAGTTCTTTGTCAGTCATGCTCAAACTGTACCAAACTGTTTTTTTTTCCAAAGTTTTGTATCTGAATGCTAACAAAAACAGTAGAAAGGCGTTAAAACGCCTTCAGTTTGCTACCTGTAAGTTACATGTCAGCGAGTAGTTACGACAGACAAACACTACATCATGTTATTTGTGGTAGGCCCACTGGGGACGATATTTCTCAGATCCGATATTTCTTGCAGTCCCTACACATGTCTGTGTGTCCATGTCCATATGCATACTTCGTCTCATAACATCCGTCGCCTTTACTCCAGAACATTCATCGGAAACGCCAGCACAAGCCATCTGGTGATGAGATTGGATACTGCACTACTCCTTCCCCTCCCCACCGAAACATATTCAGTCCCTCTGTTACCGACCTCAGTCTCTTCTGCTCCCCTGAGCATATCGTGTTTCGGTCTCCCCTGTGGCTTTCCGCGTACGAGTCATAATCCTTCTCTCTGGTCTACCTGTCTGGCCTCTTTCCGAAATCAAGCTCTGTCCCCCACTATCAGATTCCAGTGACAAAATGTTCATACCGCGCCGGGGATTATTAGTCGTGGAGATGGTTCATTAGCCGTACTCATTAAGGCAGAACTTGGACCGTATTGGGTGCCTGGTGCTACCATGCTCGGAAATACCTTCCTCATCTCGGAGCCTTTGGAACCAAGTCTCGGAACCAAGTCGTTGGGCGCTCGGCCGTCGCAAGTGGTGGTGGTTCTCCTGAAGTGCTGAGATCGCAGCCGCTTAGGCTATTTCAGGGGTCTGGCGAGCTCGGCGGACCTCGGGCGCAGCAAATCGAGTTGCTATATTAGAAGCCTTTCGAGCGTTGCCTTGCTAACCATCAAGAAAATTTGCAATCGTGTTCGAGGGGGTCTCGACCTATCACTGACATTTTGGACTCATACCGGTCTCGGCAATTCTTTGATGTTCCCAACAGCCACGCTTACCGCACACATCGCTCTGTGGAAACGCCTGAGCCCCTGGCCATCTCGAAGGTCCAAGGTGTGCCCAGAAACAGTGGCGTATCGAGCCTTGGGCATCCACCTTGGCATTGCCAGTGACACCAGCTCTGGGATCATCATCATCATCATCTGGCATCTCTGTCATCATCTCTGGCATCATCATCAAATCTCTGGCATCATCTCTGGCATCATCATCATCAGCACCATCTTTGGTGCTGGTGACCGTAGGAAGCACTGGACCATTTATGTGATCAGAAAATGGCTACCTAAACTACCTAAAAGCACATTCAGTGATTCATTACAAATGCTTCGCTAGTGCACCATGTGGGTAAAGTGTATAATCGCAAGTGGTACCGATTTTCCTGAAATCCTTAGATCAAAGGTGCTTAAACTATGTACATGCATATTAAACACACACACACACACACACACACACACACACACACACACACACACACACACACACACACACACACACACACACACACACACACACACACACACACACACACACACACACACACACACATATATATATATATATATATATATATATATATATATATATATATATATATATATATATATATATAACCAATCAGCAACGCCCTAAGCCCCTATGTATCAGGGGACGTGTCATGTGGGGCCACGCAGTGCGAAAACGACCACCCCTCTAGCCACTGGAGTTGTTCGACGTTTGACATTGGGAAGGCCAGCACGCCTCCGCGAAATGATGTGCCAGACTCGGGATGGCGTCCAAACTGCTCATTTTCTGGGTGATCGGGCGCAGTCTATGCCTTTTATTTTGGTGGTGAGTTGGAGCGCAGCATGAGACTCCTAAATCATGTCACGGAATACATGGTAAATCAGGGCTAGAACCAAACCGGAATACAAGGTAAATCAGGGCTAGAGCCAAACCGGAATACATGGTAAATCAGGGCTAGAACCAAACCGGAATACATGGTAAATCAGGGCTAGAGCCAAACCGACGACCTGCGAGACCCGGTCGTCATCGATTCCAAGGAGGTGAAACTGCGGGTTAGTTTGTTAAAAGGAGTGTGTGTATACGGCTGTGCCGGTATAACAGGGAATAAGTTTTTGAAGCTGCCTAAAACGCAAATTGCATGCAGAGGCAGGTGGGCCACCCCATTGTTCGTTTTTTAGTGTACATCAGGATAGAAACCTGGTAGAGTTTTAAAAATTCCGGGTAGGTGGGTTGATCGTCAGCGATGTTACCAATCACGTCCCATCGACGCCTCATATGAGATGCGAAGTTCTTTTCACACTCAGCGATGAGATAAAATGGGTAGAACTGCTCATTCAGCGGATGATGATTGTTGATAATGACATCCTTTAGCGACGCAAAGACCAAGTATTTCCTGACGGAGCGTTGGTGCTTTAAGACTTCCAACGTTGTGTTACCCGCGTTTCAGACCTTCCAAATGTGCTTGCGTGAGAAAAGACCAAACACTTCCATCAAACTCATAATATCACCTGCACAAACAGCTAAACTTGCGCCAAACTGGTTTGGCTTACAGAAGAGTGGCCAGTATGACATATGCATCGATTTAAACAGTTTGGCCACCCTCGCATGCCTGCAAAAGCATTATTAACTCACTTGACACTCAAAGTGGGCTCCTGGTTGGCCAAATGTTACCTTTTGTTATAACTATCGACTGCCATCTCTGACCGACCACTTCTTTATCTAACACGCAAATAGGCCAGTTTTTTTGCCATCTTTCACTGTTTCCTAGCTAAGAATGCGTCAACTTGTCCGTTCTTTGTCTGCTGACTGCTCTGGTTCTATGTCAATGGGCTGCGGCCGGGTGGGCCTAGCTGCCTGATCACGGGTGACGGTTAGAAAAGAAAAGAAAAAACAAACGAAAATAAACAGCTGGACCGGCCCAAGCAGCACTTGACGCGGCGCGGTCGTTTTGCAGCTTTGACGGCACCATCACAGCGTCACGACACGGCTGCTCGGCCGGCGTCATCCGAGCATTTAGCGCCGCCAGCCGAGCCCGGCGTCCGGGGCGTTCAGAACTTTCCAGACGGACTCTGCCCTCCAGACAGCGTGGCGGGCCGAGGCCGCATTCCGCACGAGCGGGTAACTGCGCAGTTACGGCCGCCGAGTGCATTCCCACGTGGCGCGTGCCTTACCAGCCAATTGCTGGCGCCTTCTGAGAGGCCTCGGCGTCATGCCTGCGTCCGTTGCGATTTGTCATGGGATGTCGCGTGAGGAAAAATATTTGGCCTTGAATGATAAATTGGAGCGGGGAGGTCGTCATGGTTGTTTTAAGTCTTTAAGAGGGCACATAAATCAAATGCTTCTGTCAGATAAATTAGTTGGTGGTTGAGCTTAAATGACAGAGCGCAAGCATGAATCCCTCATCAGAAAGGCATTACGACTGCGCCATTGCAGCAGGCTGCCAGCGTTTGTTACACGAACTGCGTCCAGGATTTCAAGACTGTGAAGAAAGTTGTTGATGCAAGGCAACTGCGGTAACGATTGCTCCTGGGGGATAGACGAGCAGAAAACTTATACGTCTCACTTCAATCCACGAGGCCGACAAGCCCCACGGACATCGCCTGTGCCAACCCCGTGGGCAGCACTTGACCAACCCCTAGGACAGTGCCTGTGCCAACCCCGTGGGCAGCGCCTGTGCCAACCCCGCGGGCAGTGCCTGTGCCAACCCCGCTAACAGCGCCTGTGCCAACCCCGCAGATAGTGTCTGTGCCAACCCCTAGGGCACTGCCTGTGCTAACCCCTTGGACAGCGTCTGTGCCAACCCCGCGGACAGTGTCTGTGCCAACCCCTAGGGCAGTACCTGTCCGAACTTGCTCACACGACTGCATGACGCATGCGGATGATTCACTATCGTGTTCTATCGTGTTGACTATCGTGTTCACTCACCGTCTGTGACACTTTTGGCATTTTTGCTCAGTTCTTTACGTGACATGCGACGAATGCCCCAAACCCGGCTGAGAAAGTAGCGTTACAAGCACAATCTTCTCAGCCAGTAGCACTGGATGGTTGGGCTCACGTGAAAATCCAGGAGGCAGATTACGACCGCAGCGCGCTGGATCTGTCTTCAGCGCAGCGCCTTCCACACGCTGGGCGCGACACCGCACTCACCGATGTTGAGCACGGCGTGGTTGGTGAGCTCCCAGCAGGAGTGCAGCCGCAAGATGCTGAGCCCGGCGCTCTGCTTGCTGGAGAAGTAGGTGAGCGCCGCGTCGCTGACGTGGTAGGCCTGCAGGTTGAGCTCGTACAGCGACGGCAGCAGCTGTGCCACGGCCGCCACCGTCTCGTCGGCCACGTTGATGCAGTCGCTGACACTCAGCGACACGATGCGCGGGCTGAGGCAGGCCCACAGGCCGGCGTCGGTGACGTCATTGCAGCCGGACAGCTCCAGCTGGTGCAGGCCGTGCAGTTGCTCCAGCGTCTGCTCCAGGCCCTTGTCGGAGACGCGGCCGCACTGCAGTGACAGCCAGCGCAAGCACTTGTGCGCCGCCGGGAACCCGTGCGTCAGATCGCAGAGGTCCTCGTCCGTCGCGTGCAGCAGCGCCAGCGAGTCGCACGCGCGCACCTGCAGCGCGTGCAGGTAGCGGCGGCGCGCGGCGCCCGGGTCGCTGCCGCCCGACTGGCGAATGTCGCGACAGTCGAGCACCGGGCGCAACTGGCGCCAGTAGCGCGGCTGGTACAGCACGTCGCGCCACTTCCGGCACACCTGCGCCAGCCGGCACACCTCGGCGCCCGTGAAGTGCGCGAAGAAGCGCTCCAGGAAGGCGTCCGTCAGCCAGAGTTCGGCCCAAGTGGGCTGTGGGGCTCGCAGCTCGCGCCGCCGCGCGCCTGGCCCGGCCGGCCGCGCCGCGCGCCGCCCCGCCGGCCCGTGCAGCGACGGGTACATGCCGTTCTTCATCTTCTGAAAGGAGAAGCGAGATGGTTTGTCGGGCGGCGTCGGCTTCTCCCGCGGCGGCACTGGCGGTTTCTCCTTCTTGAGCGGCGCGGCGGCGGCCGGCGCGCGGCCGTCGCGCCCGCCGGCGCCCGAGCAGAACACGTTGGCCACCTTCTCCATGACGCTGCCGCGCTTCACCCCCGCCGCAGACATGTGCCGCTCGAGGCCCTCCTGCGTGGCGGCGCGGTCCTCCTTGTCCTTCACCTTGGAGCGCAGGCCAAGCCCGGTGATGCAGCGCGAAATCTCGACGCGCGCCGTCTCCATGGCGGCGTCGCAGGATATCATGGAGCGGCGCCCCAGCCTGAGGCCGGCGCCGCGGCCGCGAGCGTTCGCCGCTCACTCACTGCCGCTGGGATCGATCCGCAACGCCGCCGGCCGCACGCGCCGCCTGCCGCCGTGCGTCGCTTGCGCCGAGTGCCGGCCGCCGCCGCCTGTCAATAACTGGCGGTGCTCGGCGCCGGCGCGGCGCGCGTACGGTTCGCAGCGGCGACGGCCGACCGTCGGCGCCGGGGGCGGGCTGGGGCTGGCGCTCGTGACTCGTGGCCCAGGCCTGGGAACGGGGTGGCGGCGTCACGGCTCGTTCCGCGCCGCGAACCTCGCCTGCTCGCCCCGCCGGCGCGCGCAGTCACGCGCCCGGAATGCTGTTCCGCTCGGCAGCGCTGCCGTCGGCGCAGTCTACCCACGGAAGGCCCGGTGTTTCCTGCCATCTAGCGGGAGAAATTGAAAGCAGTGCATTCTTCGTGACCCGTAGATGAAGCGGTGTCGACTTTACGCTTGCAGTTGGTTCAAGCTATCGAAACCTGGGATGGGAATGCAGCCAGAAGGCGTTCTCGATAACGGGGTCTCAACCTGATGTCATCTGCGAAATAGGGTGGTCAAAAACAGATGTACCAGCCGTAGCACCATTGGCGAAAATCACATTGAAGCCTCTAAATGCTTAGCTCAGGCTCACAGCACCCCTTGCACGGTAGACCAGTATAATGCAAACAAATATATGCGCATCTTATACGCCATCTTACATTGCGCCTTCAACCCGCATAAGACCAAGAACGCGGGAACGGGGGGAGGGGTGTGCAGTGGGGGCGCTCCCCTCCAGCTTGGAGGACATCTGGAGAGCCCATTCTGGTATGTTAAAGGCCGATTCTGAGTTGTAAATGGATTATGGAAGCCTTTGAAAGTCCATTCTAACCTGTAAAAGATCTATTTTTAACTGTGGAGGGCCAGTGCCGACCGGCAGAGGCCCATTCTGATTTGTAGGCGCCCATTATTGATTGGAGGACTCATTCTGGACTTAAAGAGACCGTTCAGCATTTAGAGGCGCCTTAGTGTGCCACTATGACCTGAAGAGGTTTCGTTTTAAGCTGTACAAGGTCCTTTATCGGCTGTCGAGGGCCCATTCTGGCCTGTATATGGCTCAAAGTCTGACCTGTAGAGGGGCCATCCATGCCCGTAGAGGTCCCATTATTGACTAGTTCACATAATTATGGTATGCAGAAGGCCCATTCTGGGCTGGAGAAGACCCATTCTGACTTGTGAAAGGTCTATAACCTGGACTGTGTAACCTCCACTCTGGCACGTCCAGGGGACCCATGCCGGTTTGCAGAATGACAATTTTGACCTACAGAGGGCCATTCAGACCAGCAGAGGATCCATTCTTGATTGTGGAGTGCCTATCACGGCCTGTATTGGGCCCATTCTGACACAGAGAGGACATATCATTGAATACGGAGAGACCATTCTGGCCTATAGAGAGACTCATATAGGCCAGCAGAGGGCCCATTCTGGCCTGTAAAGAGCCTATTATGGCCTAACCATTGTCATTCTGACGCACTGAAGTCCCATTCTGACCTGCAGTGGGTCCATTGTAACCTATCGAGAGTCCATTATTGGCTGTCGAGGGCCTATTTTGTGCTGCGGGAGACCCATTCTGAACCGTATGGGACCCGTTCTGAGCTGTAGGGTCCATTCGGACCTGAAGGGGACCTACTCGCTAATCTTGGGATCATTTTTTGACATTGACATTTTTGAATTTGCATACCCAACTTGAACGTAGTTCCAAAGCCCCTGCCTAAGATACGTGGCTACACTTTCATAAGCAGTAGAGCCATTGGTGTATGAACAGAGGAGGGGACAGGGGTACAATGACCACCACTTTTCAAGGTGGGTGGGGTCAGCAACGTTAACTATAGCCCCCCCCCCCCCACTTTTTCAGATTCAATTTATGTTCAGTTTACTTTTGTGCTACCTTAAACATGCATGCATGCCGATTTACCTAATTCACCAGTCATCTTCCTCATACTGCACTGGAGACGATTGTTTCATGTCGTAAATGACAGCATCTTATCCTATAATGTGCGGCCAGCGAGATATTTAGGGGCGAACCTGAGGTTTCTCAAGTACCAAATGCTCGCCTCTCTTCTGTCATATCGCCTTGGTTCTTCTGCATGGCTGCTTGGAGTCCCCTCAGCATATGTTCATAGAGTTCAGCTTGCAAGACGGCATGATGTATACCTCTAAGATCAATCAGGGGATCCCGCCCTCCCGCCCCCCCCCCCCCCCCCCCCGTGTCGCAGAATGACAGAATGCATCCTCGCTGGAACGAAGTGGCCGCACAGCGCTGGACCCGTAATCATAGTGTGCCCCCTGGTATTTTACTTCCCATAAAGTCATAACAGGTATCCTAAGTGCCGAATGGAGTGGATGAAAATCATGTCAAAAATAAAAGAGGCTAACTCATGTTCGCCTGAGGTCGTTAATTTTCGCAGAACCGACTAGTGAAACAAATAACATGAAACAGCTTAGACCTTCGCGCTCACAATCTCAGCGGCGAGCACAGTGATGGCCGGGGCTGCAGTTTTCATAAACCGAACGGCGTTGCCGAATGCAGGTAACACCAGGCGGCGGGCGCCGCGTGCGCGAGAACGACCGTCGTGAAATAATCCTTCCGAAAATCTTACAAAATTACTTCCAATCATTCAAAGATCAGACTGAGGCGTATTTTCTACCAATGTTGAGGATGCCCTCTGGTCAAAATAACGGTTATAGCAAAACGAAGCAAAGAGATTTTGCCTTTAATCTCCCAGTTCCTCCATTAGATTTCAACACCACTTCGGGTGATTATTCATCTAAAAATCGCATAGGAGAAGCATGCACCCGGACTTCTTTCTGAGCGTGCGAATTGAGGTCCTGAAGCGTACAGAGGGACGGGAGCTGCAGCTGAAATGGTCATGACTAGGGTCGGCTCATGTTGGCCCCTTGTGTGCGTTAACACGCACTCGGATCAAATTGACCCGAGCGCGAGTTAGTTGTGAGTCAAGTCGGGTCAAATTTCGGGGGGTCAAATTGACCCCTCGAAAGTTTTTTCCAGATTGGCTTCCGAACGGCGCGGCATATCCGCGCCAAATGCTGCATAACTATAGACAATTAAATATCAGATCGTTTGGCGTCAAAAATTTAAATGTGCCTTGTAAGATCGCCGACCTACGGTAGGTCAAAGTCGAGCCATAGTTTCAGCAGAGTCAATTTCTAGGGAATCGTTCATTCTGATGCAACAACGGGGTGTTATACGATGCCACACACCTCCCAGATGCTTTCTTAGGTAACACAAACTTTGAATGACCAAATTGCGTTGACCTAAAGTTAGCTATGAAGGTCACACTAAGGTCAAAACCAACCTGTTTTATTGCTCTTGGGCTTGCTGCATAGGATAGTTGCTGGTGCACATTTCAAATTTATTTATGGCAGGAAACGCATTATAATCTTTCACGGACTTCTTAGAAGTCAGAAAAGGTCATGAACCTAAAATGACCCAGGTCAACAACTTGTTTTTAGAAGCATATTGTCTAGCGTTATCTTTGTCGCTTGTTCAAGTGTAAAACTCAGAGCAGTCTTGTAGGATTTTGGTCGCCATGACCTTCAAAAGGTCAAAAAAGGTCCCTGACCTTAAATGAGCATGTGATCTTTTGGTTAGAAACAGTTATCTAGGTTTTTCGGCACTTTGGAAACCAACCTGAAATTTGACCTTGTTTGACTTTATTTGACCCGAAGGTAATGACCTAGGAACCTCAAAATTTGACCTAAATGAGTTTACGTACAGGTTAATACACCCCGTGAATTTGGTGTTTCTACCTCTCTTAGTTCCTAAGATCTCAGGGGGGTCAAATTGACCCACACACGAGCGAAGGGTATTTAGCTGACGACAAGCCTCGTGTTAAACTGCGAAGTGGGCAATAATTCAACATGCGCTGAAGGCGCATTAGTGAGACCACCAGTTCCATGTATCACTTAACCACTGAGGCGTTCGGACGTCTGCTATATCGACATAAACTGATTCTGGCATGCCATGTCGGGACAGGCAATCGGGATCTTAGCAATGCTTTTGCAAATGCGACCTTCCTGACCGGCGAGCAAGTCAAGTGATTGCGACGTCTGCACACGGCGCCATGATCACGGCTGGGACGACAGGCAGCGCTGGCTGGGGCAGACAACACGGTTGAAAAACCTGGACTGCATGGTCGGGTTCAATGGCTTTATGCATTACCGTTGAGGAGATGTAAGGGGCCTCAAAGTAGCCCCTTACAATTACGTAGACCAATAATGGCTTATTGACTAAAATATCTTTGAAAAAATAAATCACCGTAAGCTGAACAGAGCTGTTTGAACATTTTAAAAGCCTTCATTCGCAATCTTCATAAGGTGTGCAAAATCCAGTAATCACCTAAAAGAACCATGAATCTCACAATAGTAAACGCTGTCTCACACGCGCTAGAATCGACCAAATCTTCAGAAATACGCAGGCACGGCAAGACACATGGGAATGCTAAAAGACGGAAGAAACACGGTGCTGATCCGCAGCGTTTACTGGTAATTTGGACTAAAAAAGAAATGAAACCGTTTGCGCGCAATATTCTGTTTGTGATGCATCATTTCTCCCCGGTGCCATTTATATTAATGAAAGTTCCTGATAGTTCGCCAGGTCATCTTTTTGAGACTTTTTCCAAAGGTGGGACGCTCGTTATTGACGTCAGAAACACGCGTGACAGTTGGAAAGCTTCTCGATCGGTTCACAGTGCGTGGCCCTCTGCACACCTAAGCGATATGTGCTCAGATGTGCAGAACGCCCCTGTGTGGCAGTACAAACGCATGCTGTTGTCTCAGCCGTGTTATTTTTGTGCCGTGTTGTTACGACCCTCGGCTGCCCGGTGCGCAGTCACGCACCTGTGGAATACATCTCCTGCGCGGAGGACCTTCAGCAGAAGCACACGACTGCCTAGCCAAATCACAGCCAGGGGTAGACCGGCAAACGGCCGAGGTTTTTCCGACGAAATCTGAAATTTTGCGGTGGGTCCCGTTTCGGGATATTGCCAGTTTTACGTCCACCTTTCACTTGGTTTGGACAACGGTGTGCTGCTTTCGGGATCGATTTGGAAAAAACGCGACATTGGTCGCCTCACGATCAATTGCTGACGTCACTGCGGATCGGCCAGTGGTGGGCGGCATGGGTGGTTTGGCGGTTTTTGAACGTGAGCACGTGGGACGACCGCACGAAATAACCCGCACCTTTGCCAGTGCGGTAGTCCGTTCTTTGCCGAGTCGAAACATGTTTATTTGGTTTCGTTCAAATGTATCGGATTTGTAGCTTCCGACAGTTTTGTGTCACGTTGCATTAAGTGTATTTTCGACATCCAATTGCAGGCATACATTTCGATGTTCTCCATTTTGCGCCCTACCCATCCACGATCGGTAAAGCTTCCCGACGGGCGGGAGACGGCAAGTAAGCCAGCCGCGGCCAGAAACTCCGCTCCCGAACTCAACATAACCACCAGGCCGAGCGGGGCCTGAGAGGTGACTGTGGACCCGCCTGACTCTCCAACCGATCGGCCCGCAGCAACAAAGCGGCGCCCGCTGTGGACCGAATTTGCGGGAGAAAGCAGTGTTCGTCGCCCGGCCAGATGGGACGAGTCGCTCTTCCTTACCGGAGCGGGTCGCCGCCCCATCTCCCCCCCCCCCCCCCCCTCCTCTCCCCCGGAACGGCCATGACGGTGACCCCGTTTTCCGAAATGGGCCACCACGTCAAATGGAAGCGCCTGCCGACAGCCGGGCATCGAGATTAATAGACGCGGACGCTAGATCGCAGGTGACAAAACATAGGGGAGCAAATCATGGCTTCATCAACTTTGCAGGGGCCATGGCCCATGGCCGATGGCCCTATTCCCCCCATCCCCGAATTTGCCCCTGGCCTCCAAAAAGGTCCGAAGAAAAGTGTCCATTATTTATTCCAGCACAAGCTCACGTTTTTTATGTCGCGCTAGTCTTAATTGATGCCACGATTCCGAACCATTTGAAACAAGTCAAGTGCATTCTATATTTATTGTCACGTGTTTAAAACATCTCTTTGACCCCAAGTAATGTGAAAGTTCACTACCACGTATCCTTAGAACTTTCTGTTCAACTTCCCAAACGCCATCCAGCGCGAGCACACCGGACCTGCGCCGCCCGGTCCGCTACATGCCACAGAGCCACAACATGACTCTGTCGTAAGTCACCCACATGTCTAGGGAGGACAGCATGCCCCGGACCAGACACGCACTGGTCCAGCGAGGGCAGCGATCAGGCCCACGCTGGTCCAGCGAGGGCAGCGATCAGGCCCACGCTGGTCCAGCGAGGGCAGCGACCAGGCCAACGCTGGTCCAGCGAGGGCAGCGATCAGGCCTACGCTGGTCTAGCGAGGGCAGCCACTAGGAACGCGCTGATCCAACGGGCGCGGTGTATCCCCGACTGCTTCAGTTTTGCTCCAGCGAGGGCAGCATGTCGCGGACCAGCCGGTGGAGCGGGAAGGCGCCGCGGCCACACACGTTGCCCCAGTCGTCGTTGTCCAGGTTGTAGGTCATGGCGCCGGCCAGGTCGAGCGCGCGCACCAGGCTCGCCTTGGCCGCCACGCTGCGCGCGTCCTCGAAACTCACCCATTCGGCGCCGCTGTAAGCGTACGGCGCCAGTGCGAACGGGTCCCACTCCGCCGTGCCGTTGCCCTGCAGCAGGCGGCACACGTCCGCCAGGGTGACGTAGCCGCTTTTCCAGGGTCCGGAGGCGGGCGCATACAGGCCATGGACGGCCGGGTCGCGCAGGTGCCAGCCGTGCCCGTAGGTCGGCAGGCCCAGCAGCAGCTTGGAGCGTGGCACGCCGCGATCCAGCCACAGGTGGGCCGAGAAGTTGGTGTTGAGTGTCGCCAGGAAGCCGCGGTCGCGCGACGACGCGAACAGCGGCGCGTTGTGGCCGGTGGCCGGCGTCAGCGTCTGGTAGAAGTGGAAGTCGTAGGTCATGACGCTGACGAAGTCGAGCGCGGCGGCGATGCGCGGAACCTCGTACGACACGGCGACGATGGTTGACGGTGCACCGACGGCGGCAGTGAGGAGGCGCGGCCGCGGCAGCGCGCGCAGCGCCGCGCCCGTCGCCTCCAGCAACAGCGAGAAGTCCCTTCGCTCGTGACCCGGTCGGAAGTAGGCGGGGAACTCCCAGTCGAAGTCGAGACCGTCCAGGTCGGTCTGCTGCAACAGCTGCGCCGCGGCGGCGGCAAAGCTGGCGCGGCTAGTGTTGGACGCGGCCGCCGTGGCGAACGCGTCGTCAGAGGAGGCAAACGACAGGCAGATGCGCAGGAGTGGGTTCTGTTGCTGGCGCATGCGCACCAGTTGCGCAAGCTTGTCCAGGTCGGCGTCGTTCACCTGCGGCAGGCCGTCAGCGGTCACGTGGCCGAATAAGGCCAGCAAGTGCGTGCAGAGCCAGGGATCGATCTGGTCGAGCGGCACATTTCGGAAAAGGTAACAGGCGCGCACCCAGCCGCGTGCCTCAGTTGCGTCCAGGCCGCGCGACGACAGCTGGTTCGAGCTGCGGTGCTCCACTCGGGCGGGCGCGGGAGACAGCTGGCTCAGCAGCACAAGTAGCAACAGCACGACCGGCGCCATGATGGCGTGGCGGTGCACTGACGATGTACCGTATGCGATAGTGACGACGGAGGCGATCCCAGTGGCGGGTGTGAACAAGTGAACGAGGGGGTAAGTGCAGCTACATTTGAGAATTTCGGCGACAGGTCTTTTGGATTTAAACGCAAATCGTGGACACACTATTGGCTGTGCGCTCTTTGCCCTACTTTCTTAGATTCTTACGCCCTTGCCCGGCCTCTTAACGGTCACCAAACGGAAGCGTCTCTGTGACATCACGACGCATTTGCCCCAGTAAATCTGAACAGCACATTCATGTAAGCTGGTAGGTGTTTGCACTAGAGTTATGCATAGATGTTCATATGATATGCTCTGTCAAGCTATGCAACTACTTATCGCTACGTGTTTGAAGTGCAAGGCCGTCACAGTCCACAAGGGGCATAAATAACGTGTATCGATAATTTTGGGGGAGTTTGAAGTAGTACTTCACTAATGATAAAGGAATATGGCTGCGGACTAACGCCACAAAATAAGACGAATGTGGCGCGGGAAATGATGTAACTTGGCGCCAACCTACGCCAACCGTCGTTCTACAGTAGATTCTGCAGTCGCACAGTCGTGGGAGAGTCGGGTGAGCATTGTCCGCGGTTTTTTTTCGTAATTTTGTGCTTTTACAGGCGTGACAAACTTGATGGACCACACTTGAGGGCAGAGGACGTGACTTTTTCTGGTTATGTGATGTTTCATTGCACGAGTATGTAAATGAATGAGACGTGTGCCAGGGCATCGCTGGCCTCGGGTGGAAATAGAATTGCGCGATACCTACCTGAGTGACATAATAAGGCAATGGGAAATATTAATTACCTATGCATATGGTGGCAGTTTAGGGTTATTTTCAACTCCTAGATGCAGCTGAAGGTATGTCTTAAGCTTATGAGTTTTGCCTTATAGTATGTTTTAAAGGGGGCAGGGGGGGGGGGGGGCAGAAGTTGGTGAGAATGTATCAAACTGGTATTTCAATTTCTGTTGGTTGCTTCTGTGGTGAAGAATGCAAAATCTGTGTGGCTGAATCTGCCTAGCCCCCTGCCATTTGCTATAACTGGTTCTCAAAAGCATGATCCATCTAAGTGTTCCTGAACATCAGTGTGATTTTTCTGAAGTATGGGTTAGGGTCCTCAACTAAATCAAAAGTTTGCTTATTAGAGTATAAATTAAATATTTCAGGCATATAAGTGAGTGAGATTTTTTGGCAATAGTTTTAGAGCATGTATGTTAGAAAGCTGAGCACCTACAGTCTTATGTATTTTCAGAGCATAGAGCAAGATATTTCAGAGCATAGAGTCAAGTTGTGGTGTAGGTATACATTGGTACCTAACTGATAGAAAAAATTGTACAACAATTGATGTGTTTAAGGCGGAACATATAGTAAATAATCTTAAAACAGGTAGATTCATGCTCCCACCGACGAGGTTTCTGCGTTATCATTGCATAATTACAATAATTCTGCTCATCAAGAGCCATAAAAAATGTACAGGACCAAGGTAACAATAATAATGCAATGAAGATGTTTCATATCACGTTTAAGTGTGGTTATGAAACGGACAGGCCAGAAGTCCAGAACATGGCCTGAACTAGCCTAACCTAATCTAACCTAACCTAACCTAACCTAACCTAACCTAACCTAACCTAACCTAACCTAACCTAACCTAACCTAACCTAACCTAACCCAACCTTACCTAACCTAGCCATACCTAACCTAACCCCCCACCCTATCCCCTTCAACCCAGTGTCCCATTGGCATCCATGTTCCATGCCATATGCATGCTCAGCATTAAGAAGTTTTGTTTAGCCGCCAAATTCTCATTTTGCTTTTCATTCCCACCCAAAAACATCATATTTCCCCACCATGTCAACCAATCTACAAACAATATGGAAGACTGCTTGGATACACAAGAAACACATTTCATTGGATTCTTGTTACCTTGGCCTCATAAATTTTATGGTTGTTGATGGGCAGTAATGTTGTGATCACGTGTAGAAATGGCGCCGGGGTCGTAGTTGTTGCGTGTTTGTGCTCGGATGCTCAGCATTGTAGCTATTTAAGTTCCAAGGTAAGAGCTTAGGTGACCCGTTTTATGATTAATTCTTATATGTGCTGCCTTAAAATGATGATTGATGTACAATTCTCTTTCTTAACATGAGGTAGCAATGTATACCCTGACCCAAGTTGTTAATGTATTGTTATGTTGTAAGTGTATTGATATGCAAACACATCCCTAAAAAACATTGAGAGGATGAATACTTTAAATTTAAAAGCTTAACTTGCCTGGCCTGAGTTAGAAATCAATAGTGCAGGCATAGATGTCAATGTTGTACGCGCCAGGCTCGGTATGTCCATGTCATGGGTGTTCTTGTCATATAATGTGATATAATGGGCATCCTTCATTATAGGGGGTTTTCTGCAGAATGGCTTCCAGATGTCAGGTTAGGATTTCAAGCACTTAAAGTGCTTGCTCAGTGCTCTTGACTGGTAGGCCTGCAGTCAGGTGATGTCAGTGATTTCGGAGCTTGAGTGTAGGGTGGACTATGCTGTTCACTGCAGTGTGTTAAACTTTTGCTGCCACATTCTGCTACCTGGAATTTCATGATCAGAAGGTGGGGCTTAGGGCTTAGGTGACTTTTGGATGTGGGCTTTGATCTTAGAAATCCATTCATTGAAAAGGTCTGGGCTTAATCTTAAAATAACACTCATATTATTTGAGTTTTTTGTCATTGCAACATATAGTTGGTACAAGCAGAATGTCACCACCAATAGGTGCCAGTTTGCCTGTAAATCCGGCAGTCCTCTTTCACCTTCTTCATCTGGCATGATCTGATTTTTAATTTTATGCTCACCATTTTTAGATCCTTGGATTAAATTGTGGCCTGGCTAATGCAGCTCAGTAAAAGCCAACAGAACAATCATATGAGGCTTGATGCATTCAACTCCACAGTCCTTGTCAGTGATTTGACCATGTCTCACTTAGACTGATTTATCCCCTGATTTTCACCATGGTGTGATGGCCTTTAGTACCATGTTTTGTTGCTGTGATGCATATGTCAGACAAATGGTTACTCAGATGTTTTACCAAATGAGGGAAGAACTGCAGGTGCTGATGCTATTTTGCTGTTGTTTTTTTTTAGCAAAACTTTGTTTTGTTGTGCCTTCATGAAGATGCAGAAGATGCTGTTGCAATGCATGTGATGGTAATGAGGGCTTATTACAGAAATGTATTGTTTTAAGACCCCTACTTTCATGCTTTGGATGTTCTATTACCAATGTATTAAGTGCTTGTTTTAGACAGGAAAATATGCTCGGTTTAGCATATAGTGTTGTAATATGACATGATTGTGAGTACCACCTTAAAATGTGTCATTCATGTGAGAGGACAACACCTTCAAAGTCCTTTTGCTGCATAATTAAAAACTTGGGGTTTGAGGATAACTGTGGAAACTAGCCTTGTGTTCTGTAAAATGCAGAGAATTAAAGGTGGGTCCTAGAATGTTGTCAGCATCCTTACCTGACAGAACTTTAAGTCGCTCATGCTTGCATCAGCATGGATGTGGTGCATTTTGTTGCCAGCATAGCACACAGAATCCTTTGTGAGGCTCCAGTGCAGTTGGCGCACCCCTAAACTCCAATAAACAACAACAACAAAACAACAAGAGGCTCCAATGCGTGAAATGGATGAAAACAGGTACCCTGTCAAGGTTCTGGTAACATTAGCTGAGTCTGTGATTGACTGACACACAAAATTCTGTGTTAGTTAAAACATGTGAGTAATATATATCTTGAAAGTGTTAGTTGCATATGTGATTGCTCTCTGTCATGCATGATTAACTATGGCTCTGTAATAATTCCATGTAATCTCAACATTAAACTTATAATGAAAAGCAGAGGGAGAAAAGTTGTACTTTGCTATGAAGCATATGCAAGATGCACATTTACAGCAATTCTGCAGCGTGTTGCCTGCCTCTCCTTGTTTCTGGAACATCTCTGTGTGTGACATCTCCAGAAACCTTTTATCCCACCATGTGGTTTGTTTGTGCTGGCCCTGGTTCGCCCCAGGAAAGCAGCTCCGATGAATGCAGCATTCCAGGTCCGTACAACGGTATTTTAAAGCAACTCGTTCGGTATGTGCGATTCTCAGGCAGCATGTGTGCGTTGCATTGTGTTCTTGTCGTGCCGAATGATCATTTCTTGGCAATGGTTATGCCAACATGGTCACGTAGGAGGGGATGTCAAGCCGTCCTTTTCGGCTGGCTTCGTCCGCCGCTGTTAGCCCTGGTCACGTGATGGCCCGAGATACCGAGGTGACCACTGAGGGGTGAGGCCGGTTGGCGAATGCGAGTGTGGCCACGCGGTACCTGGCGTGTGGTTTGGTCCGCTCGCGGACTGCGGAACAGCGTGCGGGGCAGCAGCCTCATCTCTGACGCCCCCTCCCCTTCCACAGACGTGACCCCGACCGCAGGCCGCTGCCGCCCCGAGCCTGCCGCGCCGCCGCCGCACAGCTCGCCGGAGAGGAGGTGCGTGTGTCCGCGGCGCGCGTGCGCGGTCCCAGCCCGGCGCCGCGCCATGCCGCTCCGCTTTCTACTGCGCCTGCTGGCCAACAACGAGCAGCTGGTGGAGCGGCTCAGTAACTCGTGGCCCGTGCGCTGGGCGGCGCGGCGCACCGCCAACGGGCTCGTCCGCGCGATCAAGGCCGCCGAGGAGCTCGCGCGCTCGGAAGGCGCGCAGACCGCGGCGCGGCGCGGCGCGTCGTTCCAGGCGCGCTTCAGGGATGAGCTGCGCAAGGGCTTCGAGGAGATGAACAAACGCAACAGGAAGTAGCGCGTTGCGCGGCTGCGTAGTGACGTGAGATTGGGGTTCAGGGGTTGCCTGGCGCCGTGAGAGGCGCTGCAAATCGGTGCAATATGGAAATTGATTTTGCTTCCAGTTGGCGGAGCCGGCGAGTGACGACTTTTTGCGGGATTCTGCAGAAAGTTACGAGTATCGCACTCGTTACACGCCACTCGTCGCAGTATGGTGTGCCGTGTGACCGTGATCAATACATGTGTGGATAGCACGACACGAACTGTTGAATTATATTCCAGTGAAACCTGAATGGCAGGGTCCCACCCGAGAACAGCCACGCGGCGAGCGGGCCGAGATTTTGGCTGGGCCACATGCGTGTGCTAGCAATGCCGCTGGTGTGAGGTGGATTCTTCTTCCATTAGTGTGGCTCGATTTACCTCCGACTTCTGTTATGATCGGTCGGTGTTCGTGGACTACTAGGCTCGCACTGGTACCGGTGCCAAGGCGCGGCGCGGACATGACAGGCTGCTCTGCCACCACCCTGTGCTGCGCGCTGGTTAGATCTCCCCCCTCCTGTCAAACATACTAGTTTATCTCACGAGTATGGCCGGTTAAAGTTAACACCATTACGCGTTTCGGGTAAGCCGCGCGTTACCGCTTCAAGCGAGCTTCGGGCGGCGGGCGTCCCAACAGACCCAGCACGTCTCGATGGCGCTCTCCGCTAGGACGCTCTCGTGGCGCAGCCGTCCGCGCCTCCTGGACGGGGCGTCACCGTCTGACCGCGCGCGGTCTGTGTTTCAGCCGCCGCGAGTGGTGGGGACGCTCTTGTGCCACTGCCGTCCGCGCCTCCTGGACGAGGTGTCACCGTCTGACCACGCGCGGCCTGTGTTTCAGTCGCCTCGAGTGATGCCCCAGGACCAACCGGCGGCGCCCAAAGCCGACGAGAAGAAGCCGCCCAAGTGCAAGGCGTGCTGCGCGTGCCCCGAGACCAAGCGCGTGCGCGACGAGTGCATCGTGCGTAACGGCGAGGAGAACTGTCAGCCGCTGATCGAGGCGCACAAGCAGTGCATGCGCGACATGGGCTTCAACATCTAGAGTCGGCTGTTTTCTCGTAGTCCTTTAGCTGTGTGAACGTTCCGCGACAGCGCCGACGGTCGGTGAAGGAAGTTGGTGCACGCAGCGCCACCGACAGCATGTCGTCCACCACACAAAAGCACCGCAACTTTGTGGCGGAGCCGATGGGCGAAAAGCCCGTGACTGATCTAGCCGGCATTGCCGAGGTACTCGGCAAGCGGCTGGTCAGCCACGGCTTCGACCGCGCCTACATCGTGCTCGGCCAGTTCCTGCTCCTGAAGAAGGACAAGGAGCTGTTCGTCGACTGGCTGGTGGACCTGATCCACTGCAACGTCAAGCAGGCGTCCGACTGCTGGCAGTGCCTGAACGACTGGTGCGCGGAGTTCTTGTAGGTGCCCGTCGGAACCGGTCCGTGCAGCTGGTCCAGCGCGTCTCCAGGCCTCCGGGCCGCCGCAAGCGTCGTCCATCCCTCCGTGGTCTTCGCGTCTCATGTCTGTTCACGGGCGCCTCGTTGTGGCGGACTCGGTGGCGACCGCCCGGCCCGTGCGTTCGCCCATCGCCGCCACCGGCTGAACGCATGAGGACGTGCTGTCACGAGCGCGCTCTCTGAGGTTTGCCCGCTTGCGTCCGGCTCTGGAAATACAATGGATGTTTGCGTGCTGCAAATGGTTGCGTGCTGCGTGCAGGTCGGTGGGGTTGCTGTCGAACACGTTCGGGCGCCCTGATCGGCGACGAGATCGCGAGATCGCGAGGTCGGAGATCGCGGCGAGACGCGCTCGTGCACTCAGAGTGGGGGATACGGATGATGACGTGACGAGCAACGTCAGTTAAGTTCAGGCCACGGAGGACCGAGCCGTTCAGCAGGTAAAACAGCACTGGCCAGGACCTGGAGAAGCCCGTTCCCGGCCATGATGGCCGAGTGCTGGGCCGTCAGTGCCTGGATGTGGTACCAAGTGCCGGTTTTCCATCCGTCTGAGCTTGACCCGACACCAGAGTCGCGTTCCTTGTTGGCAGAGTACCCACCGGAGGCTGCTGCTAATGACCACACGAACCCACACGAACGACCACACTCCAAACTGTGGAAATTGTTGTGACGCTTTCGTCTCTGACGTCATAGGTGTCAACTGGTGGAAGATGGGCAATGGGCAGCGCGGCCCGGATCTTGTCCCAGTACGCGCCGCTAGAGCGCGGCATGCACCCCTCCTTGTCCCGTACCCGTAGCACTGCGGTGTCCTCTTGTGCGCACGATCCAGACTGCCGCAGAGCTGTGCACGCGCGACGACTCACGCCGGGCGTAACAGAGGTGCACGGGCGCGACAGAGGTGCACGGGCGCGACCGAGGCGCACGGGCGCGGCATAGGTGCTCGGGCGCGACAGAGGTGGTGCACGGGCGCGACAGAGGTGCATGGGCGCGACATACGCGCCCGGGCGCGACAGAAGTGGTGCGCGGGCGCGACAGAGGCCACGGAAGCGGCAGAGGCACCAACCAGCGCTCCACGCTGTCCCGGGGCCGTCCTCGGGGCTTTGGTGTAGCCAAGTTTTGCGACGCGATAGGGGCCAGTTCCGCCGAGTCCGCTCCGCAGTCTCTGGGACGAATAACTATCACATTATTCGTTGCTGCCATTTAAGTCATGTCATATTATGTAAGTACCATGAGTGTCGATTTCTTAAAATGACTTGGGGGGCCAAGTCAAGGAAGTCGCCAACAGCGGACAGGTACGAAAACCTTTTCGGATTTCATCGGCTTATTGTTCGGGTTATCCAGCGTATATATATATATATATATATATATATATATATATATATATATAACATATGATTGCCACCATTTAACACTTAAACAGGCCTAGCCCCACCTTCCCTCATAATTTGCCGGGCAATCACCTATGTTGTTGTTGTTGTTGGTTAAGGGCGCATAGCCTCTTGGGCTCAGGCGTCCATCGTTGAAGTATTGTCTTACAAGTTTGGTAGCACAGGTGGTAACTAAGCGCGACAGAGGATAGAAGGAATGTGTCGCACTGGTCAGGAATTTTCGTGCAGGATAGTGGTGTAGCAAGGAGGTGCAGTAAACGGTGTTAGTTTCTAGAAAACTCGGTGTTAAATGTTCAGATACATAAACTGATTAGTGAACTAAAACAAGAGAACAAAAAGTCCGGTTTTTTTTGCCAGGCTCTTTTTTATCATTTTCTTTTAACCGCAGCTTCCCCACATGATAGACGTTGCAGGTTAGTCATCAGTCAGTCGGCAGTCACAACATTGTCGTTTAACAAAGCATTTACCAGATGGAAATTTCACATATCTGCCATGCCGTGTACTCTAACGCATGCACGCACATTCATCTGTCTTCACCATGCTCGTTCAAACCTCATTCATGTAATCTCCTCTGCTTACGCACACACCCACGTATCACACATATACACATATTTGCTACACATAATTCCTATACCACTTCCTTGCTTCTCACATTTCTCAAGCATCCAGTCAGACATCGTACGCAGATATGCACGCAAGCTTAAATTATACATAGAATAAACAACTCATTTCAAACAATTGCAATATAGTATAAACAACATGGCAGCAATCAATGACAGCAAAGCAAAAATTGCACTTGTCCCGCACGCAAAGGCAGCACTTCACAATTGTTTCAGTAGGTCGCAGTGTCGCAAATATTTCATCACTCCATCAATGATGTCCGGGAATTGATTTCCTATCAGCGACCTCACACAAAATTGTGTTCCGGACCGTTGACATAGTGTTACCAATGATCGTCTTTCGTGAAAATATACGGGGCATTCAAGAAGAATGTGATACACTGTTAATGGACACTGACATCGTTCACATTCAGGTTGGAGGTTTCTATCTATCATGTATGCGTGGGTATAGCGAGTATCGGGCAATCACCTACCCATCCCAACTTTGCTTCGGTTTTGCCTGTGAAGTCAATGTTAAAAAATGACGGTCTTAATTAGTGCCTTTGATACTCCTTCTACTTGTGTACATGTACGGCCACGACTTCCCACCGACCGGCCATCCTTTCTTGGACTTGTATGTTCGGCATGATGTCCCAGTCAGCAGCGGTTTGCAAGTATTCCTCTATCACATTGGCTTTGCGTGGGAAATTGTTCGATTACATTGGGTTAATTATTGCATTCATTTTCTTAGCTTGTTTCCCTAATATAGATGGTATTACGTCCATTCAATGCATCATGCTTCACGAATGGTGGAACCCCAAATAATCGCAGTCTATTAATCGGCCTTTTTTCCACCGACAGCTTGCGTATTTTTGTATTTCAGTCAATAAAGACTTTTCTGCTGCCAGATTACTGCCAAGATGGATGGTGGAAAATGCTGCTAAATGCGAAGGCATGCTGGTATGCATGCACCAACACGGGCTCAAGTGGCCGGTTGACGACCCTTTGCTCGGATGGGGGGAGGGGTGCTCAGTTTGACTCACCCCTAAGATCTGGGAAACTAGGACAGCTAGAAATGCCAGATCCACGGTGGGATGGTACGTATATGAACTTGATTATGTCAAAATTTTGAGGTTCATGGGTCATGAGCTTAGGGCAATTAAGAACAAACAAGGTCAAACTGCGGACCAGTGCCATAAATGCCCCCAGACCTCCTCAAACAACCGCCGTGAACCTAGATGCCTATCCTAACAAAACGTTAATGATGTTGTCTCAAGGCCAGTTACGTTGTTTGACCTGTAAAGTGCAAGGTGACCGAGAAAACTATAAAATTGCTGTTATCTTTTGTCATTATTATTGTTATTTTTGTATATATCTGTGATTGCTGTTATTTATTGTTGTTTCCTTCCACATCTTTCGAGGAGGTCTGTTTCTAAAAGAAAGTTCCCCGGCGTTATTTTAGGTTAGTAACTAATTTGATCTTAAAATACCTGTTGCGGCCCCCATTCTTGCTAAATTCAAAATGAGCGCCAAAACTATCCCATAAAGCGAGCTGTCGAGTAAAAAGGCATGTTAACTTTGGCATCGGTCTGACCCTGTTATCTGACCCAAGGTCAATGGAATTGTTGCATTTGCAAATCCAGATGTTTTGCTAAAGAAACTGTTTTAGAAATGTACGGTTTCGTCTAAACCTTCGTTGTCGCACCAGATTGAACGATTTCCTAGAAATGGTATTTGCTGACAGCCAAGGCCTGACTTTGACCCACCATAGGTCAGCGGCCTCACAAGGTACATTTCATTTTTATACCAAAGATCCGTGACTCAATTGCTTAAATCCATGCCAAAATTAGCGTGACTACACCGCGCGGCTCGGAAGTCATTTTGGATAAACCATCTGAGAGTGGGTCAATTTATCCCCCTATCCTATCTAACTTGACGCCCCACCCTATCTTAAAGTTTCGAGTTTGTTCACTTTTGTAACCAAAACAAATGATGCGACAGAGTCCTCTGGATCAAAACAACACTAATCACAGTCGCATTCCCAGTGTAGAGAGAGGAGAGCGTGGGGGAGAGGGGTAAGGTGGCATTAGAGTTCTTTTTTTTCCGTACAGTCTACCTCCGTATGGAAAATATGCACACTCAAGGAAATTTAGGGGCTCTGCCTGAGTCCCATCAGCATCACCAATGGTTCTCGCTTGCCACGAACAACTTGCCCGCTAGGCTAAGAAAACAAATCCCTGGAAGGCGCTCGCCACTGAGGAAAAGGCCACTGTGTCCGCATCGCTGCCTATCGTCCTATCTTCCAAGGGCACGATTTGCACTGCCACAGTCTCAGCAAAGTTGAGAGGTGGAGCCGTTCGTTGGTCATCCGCTGTACTAGGGCCGTGCGCCGCGGTTCTGGCCATTTTGGTCGGCCGGCCAGCAGACGCACGGGTCCGGCCACGAAGGTTGACCGAGCGGCGGCGCAACGTTGCCGTGGCTGAATGCCGATGCGCGTGGCCCTTCTCCCCTGGCTTGCGAGCCACCGAGCAGCATGGAATACCGGCCGGCAGCGCTGGAGCTGCGCCAGCGCCGCACGAAGGCGTTTGCAGTCTTCCCCCAGGCCGGACCAGCCATCGCGCCAGCGCTCACGAGTGCGGCAAACTCAGTCCACGTACGTTACACCCTGCCGCTCATCTCCGCCCGCTCCGGTGAGGCTGCTCCCGGCGGTCTCAGCGCCGCGGACCGACTGCACCTGCCGATCTTCTTGAAGCGGTGTCGGGCGCTCCTGGCACGGCAAGAGGCGCAAACCAACCCGTTGGCCTGTGCTGGGCACCTGCCCGGACACAGTTAACAGGTTTCAGTTAGCTAGAAGGATGTTTGAGGAGCATTGTCATATTGAGCATACTGAAGAGCATCGCCAACATTACAAACACGTTAGTTTTTGATGCATCCAACTGACCGAGACCATCCATTATTGTCTTGCTACAGACAGTAATAAGATGACGACTTAACTTACTTAAGAGCGGCCAATTCCCCATCCAATGAAATATGAGTAACTTTGAGGTGGAAACAGTGGCGCATACACCATCACGACAGCAAATGGGATCGCAGTATTGCCATACAATTCATCTAGGACCATTGAAACATACTAATTCACAAAAACACCGCAGAAGCGAGTAATCCCGAAGACCTGCAGCATTGCGACCATTGCTCTTTTCCTAGGTCAGCAACATCGTGAATAATAACATAATGTCAGAGAAATCTATTGGCAAAATAAGAATACAAGTCCACGTGTGTGCACAAGTACAAGTGCAAGTGCAGTGCATGTTTCAGCTTGTGGGCTTTGGACATGCAGCTTCAGTTTAGTTCCCTAAACTCATCTCACATCCGTCTGCATATTTTTTCCGTGCATACGTATCCTAACAACCGCTGTCAGCGGTATTAGAAATAGTGGTGGCCGAAATGGCCCAGCTATTGATGTTCTGGCAAAAATATTTTATCGTATAAGATATCGTGGTGACGAGGTGACGGTGACGAGGTGACGAGGTGATATATAAGGTGACGAGAAATAGATCCATGATAGCATTTTGTACATACATTTTTGCGTGCTGTAGCTCAACAGCTAGCTTTCAAGAACAAGGAGAAACGACGTTTTGGAACAGGAAAGCTCAGGCCACTGAAACCTACATTGTCAAGTATATACTGGATGAAGGCGATGGAAATGCAGCGAAACTTCCACAAATATTGAGTGTTGTGGGTCTTGTGGGTCACAAATAAAACTTCCACAAATGAGTTCACTCTTTTCTATTGTTTCTATGCATTTTGTTGTAAGTAGTTTGGACGTTAACAGAGCCGTCTAATGGTCATAAGATCGCCACGTGATCCAGGGGCTTAAGATCGCATTCCGTTGAGGGCCTCGACTTCTCGGGCCGCGGACAAATCGCACCTGAGCTCACGAGCTTATGCTCCGCCGTCCTCCTTCTCCCACTTCCTCCTTACCCTGTCTTAAAGGCGCGGGTCCCTACAAAACAGCACCCCATGTTGATGAAAATCCCGCGGAAAATCCGACCTTCTGCAGAATTTGGGAAGATGCAATATCCTCAAATTAATTCCCAATTTCTGACTCCCTTTTACCACTCAGCCCTCAGATACCAAAGGAAAACATAAAGGCATTGGAACTTAAATGTACTCATATAAATGTATCTAAGGTACCCACACAAGGAGAGAATGGGCAGGTAATGTAACAGTAGAAAGAGTCGGCATTTAGACCCAGACCTAGACTCAATTGCGTTCATTTAGTACATTTAAACTTCATGATTACCGTATCCCAGGTTGGTCAATCCTGTGCTCACCGCTTCCCTCAACAAATTTGGCGAAACTGAAGCTCTAGTGGGGATCCAGGACCTCTAAAATTAGTACGAGACGATGACAATTCAAACACATTCCGCCTAAACCAGACAACACATTCCGTCCAAGGGACTTCTTACAAACACAATAAACAACGTTTACAAGCTTTACAAGTGATTCGTGCAGCCACAAAGGAGACTACACCAAGCACAGAGTACAGATTCTCGTCCTCAGGCAAACACATCATCGTCATAAAACCATCAAAAACGCCATCGAACACCACCATCACACATCATCGTGTCAAATCACCTCCGCTTCCGTAGCCACAAAGAAGACGAAGACCGCGTAACGTTAAATCGGACTCCTTTCCAGCCGTAGGTACAGCAGCAGCCCCAGCCGGGCCGGCGCTCGGTGCAGGCATGCCGGGAGCGGATGGGTGCCCTAAGACAAGCATTGTAGGTTCCTGTGCGCACCACCTCTATTCTTAAATGCACGCACATACCAGATATCTTACACACTCCCCCAAGCGCATTTAGACTTAAATGTGTGCTATCACCTCAAACTCTGTACTTGGAACGATTAGAAAGGCCTCAGACAGCGTAAGCCTGCAGCTAGGGGAATTTAATGAAAGGCCAGGGTTTTTCGACGACAAGGCATCTGATGAACATATAGCGCTGAAATGAGAGAAAACAATCTGCATGAGAGCATTTCGATGGTGCGTTGCCTGTATAACTACCGAACTTGGCGTTCCATAACCTCAGCTTGACTTGACATTGGTATGTTCTGCAACCCAGCGCTCGATTTTGCTCGACGCAGTCCTGTACTGTGCGGCGCACCAGCCAGTCACGGATGCCGACAGCGCCTTGTCCCAAGTCGGGCCATGCTTAGGGTGATCGTCCAGATCTTGAAGAATGGACTTCTGCATCTTGCTTGGGGGGTCCGACAGGGTGTTATACGCACCGGCCGTTGGGTCAGCCACGGGCGGCGGGGGGGGGGGGGGGGCGGAGGATGCTGCGGACCACCGCGGGCGCCGACAGGTCAGACGGCCTGACGTAACGGGGGACCCACAAAGTCACCGTCATCGCTGTCGTCATCGACTCGGTCCCTTGAGTTCTCCGTGAAAGAATGAAAGGTTGGCGTCTCGACAGCCTCCCTGGAGGTCCTGGCGTCGGCTCTATGGCGGGGCTGGCCTCCGCCCTCAGAGTGGCAAGCCATCTTGATGACGTATCACGTCGTCCTGCCCCAAAAAAAAACACAGTCTGATTATCCTTTGAAAATCGGCCAATTCCATTGGAAGAAGGTCATGTGTGTCCCCTCAAAATTGTGTGCAATCTACAGAGACGACTGACTTTATCATGGCTCACGTGGCGTCTAACCAGCTATTAGAGCGTGGTCCTTTTTGTAGGCTATGCTATCTTTTTTAGTTTCGATGCCCTGAAAACGTTGAAGTCTACCAAGGTTTCTCAACATGTTTTGACCTATCACGAGCACCCACTGCAAGCATTCTTTGTAAAACGTAGTGCAGCTTACATGAGGCACACCGACGGCGGAACATGACTATGACTATTACAATGACTGCAGTGCTGATATCCTGTAGCAAATCACCCTGAAACCTTACATTCAGCACGGAGCTTCGAAACCTTTCATCCTAGCCGTCATGTTTCGGGCGACGCTTTCCACGCACAAGGTATCGGGTGCTAGGGTGTAGGAGCCGGATGTACTACTATACTGATGCTCCTGGTGTATTGTATACTATTACACTATTGTATCCTGGTGCACTGATATCAACGTCCTGCCCCCTCGGCCGCCGCTCCAACACTGCCGCTCCCGGCCCGCCGCCGCCCCGCCGCCAAGCGGCTGAAACTCGCACCTCGGGGCGGAGCATGGGAGCAGGAGGGCCGGCGAGACGGATCATCATTGCACATCACACCCCCTACCCCTGACTTTTAAGCTATATGACACTCAACAACAGTCTTCGCATCGCGGGTTCGGCCTCGAGCACGCCCGGACGTCCTCGGACCCGGTTGCTCTCGTCCACCTCCCCCGACATCATCATCAGTGTCATTCTGTTCCACGGCTCGTGGCCAGATCACCAGCGGCCCGCCATCATCCTCGTCTGCTGCACTTGCATTCACTCACTTGCTGCACATAAATTTTCCTGACCTCTCTCTGGGTAGCATCGGGATCATCATCTGCGGACAGGCGCACCTCCACTGCGTCAGCTGCTGCGGCCGCCTCGTTCACTCCCGCGCCGGTCTCGCCGATCGCGGTCCCAGCTTCAGCAGCGCAGCCAGCCGTTACATGAGCAGCAGTACCAGCGGTACACTCGTCCGCGGCGCCTGGCGCGCCGGCAAGACTGCCGGCACCGTCTCCATCACCATCGCCGCCAATCACATTCCCGATACCGAGGGCAGCGGCAGCGCCGCACGCCTCGGCTACGTCGGCAGTTACATCCGCTGAGTCTCGCACGTGCAGCCATTTCCTCGGCACCATTGGTCAGGGTTTCTGCTCTGTTGGATGCAGAGGAAACGCATCTAACACGAACGTGCAGGTCGTGCTCATCCACCAAAGACTTGAACGTACAGAGCCTCTTTTGCATCAGCGTCTCCGATGCAGCCTTCGATCTCAGACGTGACTTGCCACTGAGAGCGTCCGTAACCCACTGCAACACCGTGCGAAAGTCTGTGGCGATGTCTATGTTCACGTCTCGCCACTGGAGGGCCATGTTGACCCCGCTTCAGCACAGCATCCAGCTCTGAGAGATTGATATGAGCCCCGTCATTCGGCCGACGGAGCCAGCTGACATCTTCCGCCACTTCTCCATCTACCTCGAGGACCGCACCGAGAGTCAGCGAGCTCGCGTCTGTCCAGACAGTCACTGCATCACCGCTCACGTCCCGTCGACCGTTAGCCGGGTCATCGGCCTTCACTCTGGCTATAAATTCCTCGACCAGCCGCAGCACGTTCACCTCCTCGACGGGATCGTCCCAGCCGTTCGTCACTTCACTGACCAATCGTTTGACGAACGAGGCAGCTGGGTGGAGCCAGCCGCAGACCGGATGGTGGCTGGCCAGCTGCCCGCAGATGCAGGACACCTTTCACCTCGTCAGTGACTTGATCTGATTGCCTCTGCTTCATTTCAGGTTTCCAGTCGCCCCCCCCCCCCCCCCCAGATCCTCAGTCCGAGGATGCGAGCGCCGTCCTTCGCTCGCTCTGGGGTTTTGCTCTCAAGGCCATAGGCTCGGAGATGCTCGGTCACGTCGGAGGCAGGCAGCTTGACCTCGTCCACCAGAATGCCATCAACGTACGTCGAAACAGTTGCCGCGACACACGAGTCCTGTGCCACGGTCATGTCCAGCACCGTTTGCATGACTGACGGCGCAACGTTTGGCCCGAAGCCGAGCCTTCTCAGCGCGAACCTTTTCCCCTGAACCAGACGGTCTGGTGCGGCCAGAGCTCCCTCCTCTGCAGAAACGCTTTCTTCAAGTCCAGCAGCGCCACAGCAGCCCCCATCTGTCGCCACCTGCGCAAACGCTCTGCACAAACGTCCGTGTCGGCCGTGAAGGCCGTCACATGGCGATTCAGGGATATAAAATCCATGTCCGGCCGCACTTTCGTGCTTTGCACTACCGTCATCAATGGTATCGATCCCTTGGGCGGACTCAGCTGTCTCTCATCGTATACACGCAGCCAGCCATCTCAGATCCAATTGTCAAGTGCTGCTTCGTACTCGGCGCGCGCCTCCGTCGGCACCGGGTACTCATCCACTGTGTTCAGCAGTTCACTCGGCGGGCTGCCCCCGCCGGACACTTTCCACAACACCACCCAGCGCAGCACAATGGGGTCGAATGTCACGCAGAAGTCCTCCTCCTCAACACTCAGTCTCCCATTCTGCTGCGGCTCCTCGGCGGCGGTAACACACGCCGTGCCCACTCTTTTGCAGACAAACTGCACGTCAGAAGGCGAGCGGACAGTCACTCCCCTAGAGCCTGGACAGCGTCCATCACCATGATCACACCAAACTCGAGGGGCTTTTCCCTGACCGCCAGGGCGCTCACCTCCACTGCCCGGCAGCCTGGCACAGCGAGCCGAATGTCCCCAGTGCCCGCACACTCCAGCTGCCGGCCGTTTAGTCACCACGTGCACTGTTCGCCTCCGTCACCGATGGCACACGGACCCGTGCACCAGCGTCCGTGTGCACCCAGAGCCAATCAGCACGGTGCGCTGCGCTCCGTCGATTTCAAACTCTGTCACCGGTAGCGCGCCAGTAAGATGCCTCAGTCCCTAGAGAAGGCCGGCGCAGGTGCCTCCTGTCGCTCCCCGTTTGGGCAGCGGGCGGCGGTGTGTCCCCATGCCCGACAACGGCAGCACTGAAGGGCTGGTGGATCACCTCCGCGTGCTATGGACGAGTGTGAACCGCCACCTGCAGCCGACTGCCACTGCCCACCTTTGAAGCGTCGGTCACGTGGTCACTCGCGGGCGATGTGTGAACTCCCCGCAGGTAACACACGGGCCTCGCCGCCTGCCGTCGCCACCTGCCGGCGCCACTGGCCGCCTCGCGCCAACAAACATGGCGGCCGCGCCCGACTCTTCGCGTAACGCGGCGCGGGCCCGGTCCGCGAGTTCGTTCAGGGAAAGCAAATCCATTCGCGCTCCCGCCTTCAACACCACAGCTTCCGAGAGCCCCGCCACGAATGCACAGCAAAGGCCACCTTCGCTGAGCCCCCGAACAAGGACGCAAGCTGCTGGAGCTCCACGAGGAAAACATCTACCGATTCCCCGGCCCCGAGGTTACGATCCCATAAATCGTTCATAAGCCGTGAACTTATCTGACGCAAAGGCCCTCTCCAACGCATCTTTTATCTTCTCCGCATCCTTCTTATCCGCTGCTGGCAGCTGCCGGTATAGACAGCGCACCTCCCTTCAGTCTCAACGGTATGACGCCTTCCTGTCGCGTCTCCGCTTGGTCTTCATCGCGCCGACAAAGCGTGCATATCATCCCCACTTTCTCGATCCACACCGCGACATTTGCCCCGTCCGATCCATCAAACTCAGGCATCAACTTTGCATCGGGTCCCGCCATAAATCTGAAATAGCTGTATTGTTCAGACACTGATATTAACGCCCCTCCAACCCCCCCCCCCCCCCTCGGCCGCCGCTCAAACACTGCCGCTCCCGGCCCGCCGCCGCCCCGCCGCCAAGCGGCTGAAACTCGCACCTCGGGGCGGAGCGTAGGAGCGAGCCGGAGGGAACGGATTATCATTGCACGTTACAGTTGCAGTTTCGTTAGGCCGCGTAGCGTCGGCCCCGTGGCAAACATTAAGCCGTGGCCGATGGGTGGATGAAAATAATGACAAATCTAAAAGAAGTACCTTTGGACACTTAAGGACATCAAAGTGGACATCTAGAAGACAGTATGGACGCATATTTTGCCAATGCAATTTTTAGATTCACGTTCAGAACGGAATGGTATTCACAACCGGTACGGCACCGCGAAGTGGCGCAGGCTGAAATCTGGTGGTGGAACTGGGAGGGTTAAGGAAGAATTTATATTTTTTCCTGATACTGTGACTGTTACCTGTGCGGTCAAACTCAAAGCTGTCAAAAAGACACGCTCAGTCTTATCTTTAAACGGTACGAATACATTCTGAAGCACATTCGGTCCTTTCATTTCGCGACGGTCGTTCTCGCGCAGGACCCGTGGCGTTACTTGCAGTGGCCAACGCCGTTCGGTTTTAAGAAAACCGCAACCGAGGCCATCGCTGTCCGTGCTCCCGAGATTTTGAAATTTCGAAGGCAATAGTGGCCAAAATCATAGAAGACTGCGTTTAGTTTTGCATTTGAATAAATTACAAAAATTACGTTTGAGAGCAAATTTATAAAAACGAAATGTTGGCCCAGGGCATTTTAGGCCAGTGAACTATTCGGGCCTGTAAGTAGTCCAAGTAAGACATCTAATGCAGTTATCAATAAATTCGGAACGAGCAGGTTGCGCGCGGTTTTTCCAGCTTTATCGTCGTCGTTTCTGTCGACTTGATTTTTGCCGTCCAAGTAACTAGGAGTACTGGCTCCCCATTTTTCTGCAATATCGTCATGCTCACCCGACTGATTTCTCATCGACACTACACGGTAATTGCACGATACCCAAAGCCTAGTTTGCATAACAGTAACAAGCGCCGTGACTGACTCAATTTAGATAAAGTTCCTGCATGGTTTTTTGAAGTTACGGACTTGCGCATGACGTTGCGTAATGCATAATGTTATGAACGCCTTTTTAGAGATAGTGGCTGTACTCACGAATGATGAACCTCACGAAAGAAAAAAGTCTCCTTGGGTTATATGTATATGTCTCTTGATACGGGCTATGTGTCTCCTATATGTCTCGCTATATAAAGGCTCCTTGGGGTATATGTTTACGGGCAATAATCATATTCGCTGTGACTAATTATACATGTTGATGACGGCTGTTGGTTAGTTGGCCCACAGTACTGATCTGCAGACAGATTCCGTGGGGACAATTCCCTGTCATAAACCGACTAGCAAGGGGACGACTGCAGATGGTGGCGAGAACATTGGCGTACCGATATTACGTGTATTTTTACGAAACAAATGCTTTCGTCCTAACATGGGCAGCAAACGTCACATTCCCCCGTCGCAGAATGGTGCCGGAATCCCTCGTTGGCACGCCGGAATCCCGCTCGGCTTATTATCCTCAGTCGCCGGAATCACACCTCGGCACGCCGGAATCCACATCGGCTCTGAGGAATCATAACGCAGAACATCCGTGACGCATTTAACCCGTGGTGGTAAAAATCCTGTCATTACGTTCGTGGAAAATTCACAGTCGCCCCAAGCTACATGCAGTATACGAGCTATACAGGATAATCAATTTGCCATGTAAACATGGACCTGACCACGACGCGTCCTCTCTCATGGCACAGAACTCATGCCGCACATTATTCATTAACCTGCCATTTTCCTATAGACTGTTAACTGGAGCGCACAGAAAATGACAGGCGGGGGTTAGCACGTCATTTAACAATACACATTAGCGACGTATTTGTATGTAAGACATGTTAATGACTGCGATGAGATGTTAGCACTAAAAGAGAGCACGACATGAAACAAATCAGAATTAAGGTGTAAGCACATAATCCCAAAAGAACCTACAGAACGCGCATTCGTAATTAATTAAAAAGAAAGAAAAAAGGCCGGGTATCTCGGAACCGCCGGAGCGTCGGCGGTTGTTCCGCCGAACTTACATTTTGCCGAGGTGAAGGCTTTGGCGAGACATTGGAAAAACAGCATGTGGCCCGCGGTGGATAGCTGCGCCGCCCGCCACAAGCACCAGAAACTATCCCACACAGCAAGCCCTAGAATAATTAAACATGATGATTTTGACCTTGGTTTGACCATTATATCTGACCCTGGGTCAGTGGACTTTGTACATTCAATTGTTGTATTGCCTAATGAAGCATCTCAGAGATGTACAACTTCGTTTAGCACTCCGTTGTTCCATCAGATTGAACGATTCCCTAAAAACTGAATTCGTTGAATCCATGGTCTGACCTTGACCTGCCGTAGGTCAGCAGCCTTACAAGGTATATTTAAATTTTTGATACCACACGATCCGCTATTCAATTGTCTACAGCTACGCAAACTTTTGCGCGGCCATGCCTAGCATAATATGCCGTTCGGAAACAAATCCGGAAAAAACCTTTGGGGGGGGGGGGGGCGGGCGGTGAATTTAACCCTTCCTATCCGAGCGCGTGTTAAGTGTCCATATTTTCCATATGGGGTAGACTGCAAAGAAATAGGAAAACTCTAATGCCACTGCCCCCTCCCCCTCCTGTCTCCACACTGGGGAATGCAACCATGGTTAGTGTTGGTTCGGTCCAGAGCATTCTGTCGCATCATTTGTTTTGGCTTCTAAAAATGCTCCCAAGTTCCATTTATGTCCTCATGAGTTTAACAAACGCTAAACTATAATGTAGGATGGGATGTCAAGTTGGTTGGAGTAGGAGGATAGATTTAGCCCACTCCCCAATGGTTTACCCAAAATTATTTCCGAACCGCGCGGAGAGGTCACGCCAATTTTGGCTCGAATTTGGGCAATTGAGTCACGGATCTTTCGGGATAAAAGGTCGCTGACCTATGGCAGGCCAGAGTGAAGCCCTGCCTGCCAACAGAGACCATTTCTAGAGAATCATTCAATCTGATGTGAAAGCGGAGTGTAAGACGAAACCATACCTTTCTAAGATAGTTTCTTCGGCAATACAAAATCTGGATTTGCAATTACGACAAATTCCATTGACCTTGCGTAAGATATAAAGGTCAGACCGATTCCAAAGCTAACCTGCTTTTTTCCTCGAGAGCTCGCTGCATGAGAAAGTTATTGGTGCCCATTTTGCATTGAGTAAGAACAGGGACCGCAACGGACATGTTCCGTGGACTTATAGCAGACTGGTCACTGGCCCAAAATGGCCCCGGGGATTTTTTTAGGAACAGACTGCCTAGAAAGATCTAGAAGATAAGAGCAATAACAAAAAATATAAAGATAACCAAATATAAAGAATATCAAGATAACAATAACAAAAAATAACAGCAAATTTGTAGCTTTCTTGGTCACTTTGACCTTTATAGATGGGTCAGACAAGGTAACTGACCTCGAGTCAACACCATTGACGTTCTGTTTGGAACAGGTATCTAGGTTCATGGCGGTTGCGTGAGGACGTCTGGGGGCACTAAGACCAATCTACAGTCTGACATTGTTTGACATTATCTGGCCGTAAGTTTATGATCTAGGAACCTCAAATTTTGACCTAATTGAGTTCATAGACAGGCCATCCCACTCTGTGAATCTGCCATCTCTAGCTATCCTAGCTTCCGAGATCGAAAGGGTGGATCAAATTGTGCCCCCCCCCCCCCCACCCCCACCTGAGCGAGATGTAATCAACCGGCCACTTGAGCCCGTGTCGATGCATGCCTACCAGCATGCCGTCGCATTTAGTGGCATTTCCATCATCTAAAATGGCAGTAATTGCTGGTGAATCAGTTAGGTAAGCTAATCTCCCAAGTTTGCCTCGAAATGTTTCGCCAAGAAAAGTCGCTAGTGACTGAGATGAAAAATACGCAAGCTGTCGGTGGAAAAGCGGCTAATTAATAGACCATCATGATTTGGTGTTCCACCATTTGCGGAGCATGACGCATTGAATGGACGTAATACCATCTATATCAGGAAAACAAACTAAGAATATGAATGCAGTAATTAACCCAATGTAATCGAACAATTTCCCACGCAAAGCCAAGATGATAGAAGAATGCCTACAAACTGCCGCTGACTGGGACATCATGTCGAACATACAAGTCAAAGAAAGGATGGCCGGTCGGTGGGAAGTCGTGGCTGTACATGTACACAAGTGGAAGGAGTATCAAAGGCACTAATTAACGCCGTCATTTTTTAAGCATTGACTTCACAGGCAAAACCGAAGCAAAGTTGGGATGGGTAGGTGGATGCCCAGCAAATTATGAGGGAAGGTGGAGCTAGGCCTGTTGGAGTGCTAAATGGTGGCAATCATATGTTATATATATATATATATATATATATATATATATCGTACCTGTCCGCTTTTGGAGACTTCCTTGACTTGGCCCCCCAAGTCATTTTAAGAAATCGGCACTCATGGTACTTACATAATATGACATGACTTCAATGACAGCAGCGAATAATGCGAGAGCAATTCGTCCCACAGGCTGCGGAGCGGACTCAGGGACGCCTCTCAAGCCATTTTAAGAAATCGACACTCGTGGTACGTACATAATATGACATGACTTCAATGACAGCAGCGAATAATGCGAGAGCAATTCGTCCCACAGGCTACGGAGCGGACTCACGGACGGCTCTCAAGCCATTTTAAGAAATCGACACTCGTGGTACGTACATAATATGACATGACTTCAATGACAGCAGCGAATAATGCGAGAGCAATTCGTCCCACAGGCTGCGGAGCGGACTCGGCGGAACTGGCCCCTATCGCGTCGCAAAGCTTGGCTACACCAAAGCCCCGAGGACGGCCCCGAGACAGCGTGGGGTGCTGGTTGGTGTGCCTCTGTCGCGTCCGTGTACAGCTGTCGCGCCCGTGCACCTCTGTCGCGCCTGCGCACCTCTGTCGCGCCCGCGCACCTCTGTCGCGCCCGTGCACCTCTGCCGCGTCTGTGCACCTCTGTCGTGCCCGTGTACCTCTACCGCGCCCGTGCACCTCTGTCGCGCCCGTGTGTCCCAGCCGCGCCCGTGCACCTCTGTCACGCCCGGCGTGAGTCGTCGCGCGTGCACAGCCCCGTGGCAACCTAGAACGTACGCACAACAGAGGACACCGCAGTGCTAGGGGTGCGGGACAAGGAGGAATGCATGCTGCGCTCTAGCAGCGCAGACTGGTGACAAGATCCAGGCCGCGTTCCCCATTGCCCAACATCTTCCACCAGTTGACACCTATGACGTCAGAGGAGAAAGCGTCACCACAGTTTCCACAGTTTGGAGTGTGGTCGTTCGTGTGTGACGTCATTGGCAACAGCCTCCGAGGGGTACTCTGCCAACAAGGAACGCGACTCTGGTGTCGGGTCAAGCTCAGACGGATAGAAAACCGGCACTTGGTGAAACATCCCGGCACTGACGGCCCAGCTCCCGGCCATCATGGCCAGGAACGGGCTTCTCCAGGTCCTGGCCAGTGCTGTTTTACCTGCTGAACGGCTCGGTCCTCCGTGACCTGAACTTAACTGACGTTGCTCGTCACGTCATCATCCGTATCCCCCACTCTGAGTGCACGAGTGCGTCTCGCCGCGACCTGACGCGCCGATCAGGGCGCCCGAACGTGTTCGACAGTAACTCCCCCGACGTGCACGCAGCATGTAACCATTTGCAGCACGCAAACATCCATTGTACTTCCAGAGCCGGACGCAAGCGGGCAAACCTCAGAGAGCGCGCTCGTGACAGCACGTCCTCATGCGTTTAGCCGGTGGCGGCGATGGGCGAACGCACAGGCCGGGCGGTCGCCACCGAGTCCGCCACAACGAGGCGCCCGTGAACAGGCATGAGACGCGAAGACCACGGAGGGAGGGACGACGCTTGCGGCGGCCCGGAGGCCTGGAGACGCGCTGGACCAGCCGCACAGACCAGTTCCGTTGTTGTTGTTGATTAGAGTTTTAGGGCGCGCCGACTACTGCGGTCATTTTGCGCCCATAACAGCTAAATGACTACCTACGGCGGTAAATGACTAAAAAATATATATCATTCTGAACTGAAAACGGCTGAGTTGTGACAGGAACACGTCACCAGTGATGTCCGAGCACGTTGACCCATAATAACATATTGATACGAAATTTCCGGCAACTTCCTACTCGCGGTATGAACTATTCAGGCAGATGTATATAAGGTGCAGAACTTAACATGCGGTACGAAGCTGAGAGTATGTTCGATATACGGTGAGCTGTCACCTAGTAAATCGGAGAGCGTCAGGGACGGCGCCTCCCGGCCAAAGAACCTCAGATGCTCGACGCGTAATATGGGACAGCATACGAGCACATTTTCCACTGTGAGCGTGGTGTTGCAGTGCCGACATCGTGGTAGTTCGTCGTGACATAGTAGGTGTCGATGTGTAGCATAAGTATGGCCAATCCGCAAGCGACACAGGATTACTTCCTCCCGTCTAGACTTTCGATAGCATGACTGCCATTCCTGAACAATCGGCTTAATGCTTTTCAGTTTAGTGGTGCCCATCGCACCCCATGTGCTTTGCCATTCCCCGCGCAAAAAGGCAGAGATGGCCGAGTACAGGTCTGTAGCGGGTATCGGAAACGCTCTGCGACAGGGATGACGAGTAGCACGCTTTGCAGCAGAGTACGGACCGGTTCCGACGGGTACCTTCAAGTGCTCCGCGCACCAGTCGTTCAGGCACTGCCAGCAGTCGGACGCCTGCTTGACGTTGCAGTGGATCAGGTCCACCAGCCAGTCGACAAACAGCTCATTGTCCTTCAGGAGCAGGAACTGGCCGGGCACGATGTAGGCGCGGTCGAAGCCGTGGTTGACCAGTCCCTTGCCGAGTACCTCGCCAATGCCGGCTAGATCAATCACGGGCTTTTCGCCCATCGGCTCCGCCACAAAGATGAGGATCTTTCGTATGGTGGACGACATTCTATTGATGGCGCTGCGAGTACCAACTTCCTTCACCAATCGTCGGCACTGTCGCAGAATGTTCACACAGCTAAAAGACTACAAGGAAACAGCCCACTCTAGATGTTGAAGCCCATGTCGCGCATGCACTGCTTGTGCGCCTCGATCAGCGGCTGACAGTTCTCCTCGCCGTTACGCACGATACACTCGTCGCGCACGCGCTTGGTCTCGGCGCACGCGCAGCACGCCTTGCACTTGGGCGGCTTCTTCTCGTTGGCTTTGGGCGCCGCCGGTTGGTCCTGGGGCATCACTCGAGGCGGCTGAAACACAGGCCGCGCGCGGTCAGACGGTGACGCCCCGTCCAGGAGGCGCGGACGGCTGCGCCACGAGAGCGTCCTGGCGGAGAGCGCCATCGAGACGTGCTGAGTCTGCTGGGACGCCCGCCGCCCGGAGCTCGCTTGAAGCGGTAACGCGCGGCTTACCCGAAACGCGTAATGGTGCTAACTTTAACCGGCCATACTCGTGAGATCAACTAGTACGTTTGACAGGAGGGGGGAGATCTAACCAGCGCGCAGCACAGGGTGGTGGCAGAGCAGCCTGTCATGTCCACGCCGCGCCTTGGCACCGGTACCAGCGCGAGCCTAGTAGTCCACGAACACCGACCGATCATAACAGAAGTCGGAGGTAACTCGAAGCACACTAATGGAAGAAGAATCCACCTCACACCAGATATGATGCCATCTATATTGGGAAAAGAGCTAATAAAATGAATGCATTAATTAATCCAATGTAATCGAGCAATTTCCTACATAAAACCAAGATTATAGACGAATCACTGCAACCCGCTCCTGAGTGCGACATCATACCGGACACAAGTCAAAAAGCAATTGTATATATATATATATATATAATATATATATATATATATATATATATATATATATTTGTATATATATATATATATATATATATATATATATATATATACATAGGCGTATATACATGGTGGAAAACCGGAAAAATAAGCCGATGAAATCCGAAAAGACTTTCGTACTGCTATCGTATTTTTCTGCTATCGGAGACTTCCTCGAGCAGGCCGCCAAATCTTTTTCAGAAATCAATATCCGTGGTATTTACATAAATGAAATGAATAAAATGGCAGCAGAATAAAAACATGAATAAAATGAATACAACGTGGCATGAATAAAATGGCAGCAGCGAGTAGAGTGAGAGCAATTTGCTCCCGAGGCTGCGGAGAAGACCCAGCGGAGATGGCCTCTAGCGTGTCACAGCCCCTGGATACACCAAAGCCCTGAAGACGGCCCCGAGACAGCGTGGAGCACTGGTCGGTGCGCCTTTATCACGCCCGTGCGCCTCTGTCGCGCCAATGTACCTCTGTCGTGCCCGTGTACCTCTGCCGCGCCGGTACGCCTCTGTCGTGCCCGTGTACCTCTGCCGTGCCGGTACGCCTCTGCCGCGCCCGTGTGCCTCTGTCGCGCCCGTGTGCCTCTGCCGCACCCGTGTGCCTCTGTCGCGCCCGTGTGCCTCTGCCGCACCCGTGTGCCTCTACCGCACCCGTGTGCTTTTGTCGCGCCCGTGTGCCTCTGTCGCGCCCGTGCGCCTTTGTCGCACCCGTTTGCCTCTCTCGCGCCCGTGCGCCTCTGTTGCGCCCGTGCCCCTCTGTCGCGTCCGTGCACATCTGTCGTGCCCGTGTGTCCCTGTCGCGCTGGCAAGCCTCTGTCGCGCCCGTGGGCCTCTGTTGCGCTCGTACACCTCTGTCGCGCCCGCGCGCACCTGTCGCGCCCGTACACGTCTGTCTCGCCCGTGCGCCTCTGTCGCGCCCGGCGTAGGGTGTCGCGCATGCACAGCTCCATGGCAATCCGGACTGCACGCACAACAGAGCGCCGCGATACTAAGGGTGCGGAATGAGGAGGGGTGCATGCTGCGCTCCAGCAGCGCGGACTGGTGACAAGATTCGGGCTTGCTGGATTTTGCAAAGCGCATGAGAATTGCGAATGAAGACTTTCAAAATGCCTAAACAGCCCTGTTCAGCGTATGATGGCTTGTTTCTTTTTATATATTTTAGTCAGTAAGCCATTACTGGTCTACATAGTTCTAATGGGCTACTCTAACGCTCCTTACACCTGCGTAACAGTAATGCATGAACCCATTAAACCCGACCTTACAGCCACTGGCACAGGTTTTTCAAATATGTTGTCTGCCCCAGCCAGCGCTGGTTGCCGTCCCAGCCGTGATCACCTCAACACAACGTCCAAATGCATATGCGTGTTCACATCCTTTGGCTATTTGGTGCCGTGTGCAGACGTCGCAATCACGTGACTTACCCGCCGGTCAGAAAGGCCGTATTTGCAAAACCATTGCTAAGACCCCGATTGCCTGCCCCGCCATGACATGTCAGGATCAATTTTACGTTGATGTAACAGACGTCTGAACGCTTCAGTGATTAAATGATACACGAAACTGGCGCTCTCACTAACGCGCTTTCAGCCCATGTTGAATTATTGCCCAGTTCGCAGTTTAACGCACAGTTTTGCACACCGATACATTTACGACATAACAATACATTAACAGCTTGACTGTCTATTCTCTGGCCATCTTTAAGACTATAGGTGTTCAGCTTTCAAACATACTCTAAGATTATTGCCAAAATACCACACTCACTCACTCACTGCCTGAAATATTCAACTCATACCCTAATGGACACACTTTTGACTTAGTCAGGGACCCTAACCCATACTTCAGAAACATCACACTGATGTTCAGGGGCACATGGATGGGTTGCGCTGTTGAGAACCAGTTATAGCCAATGGCAGGGGGCTTGGCAGGTTCAGCCACACACATTTGACATCCTCCACCACAGAAGCAACCAACAGAAATTAAAATTTCTCCACCACAGAAGCAACCAACAGAAATTAAAATATCAGCTCGATACATTCTCACCAACTTCTGCCCCAGCCCCCGTTAAAACGTACCATAGGACAAAATTCCCAGAGCTTCAGACATACCCTCAGCTATTTCTAGCGCTTGAAAATTACCTTACACTGCCGCCGTAAGCATAGGTAATTAATATCTCCTATTATCTTGTTATGTTACTCAGGTAGGTGACGCGCAATTCTACCTCAACCCGAGACCGGCGATGCCCTGGCACACGTCCCATTCATTTGCATATTTGTGGAATGAAACACTACATAACCAGAAAAAGCCGCGTCCTCTGTCCCCAAGTGTCGTCGATAAAGTTTGTCATGCCTGTAAATTACGTCATGTCATGTCACAATGTCATGCACAAAATTACGAAAAAAAGAACGCGGACAATACTCACCCGACTCTCCCACCACTGTACGACCGCAGAACGACGGTTGGCGTGGGTTGGCGCCAAGATACGTCATTTCCCGCGCCACATTCGTCTTATTTTGTGGCGGTAGTCCGCAGCCATATTCCTTTATCATTACTGAAGTACTACTTCGAACTCCCCCAAAATTATCGATACACGTTATTTATGCCCTTTGTGGACTGTGACGGCCTTGCACTTCAAACACGCAGCGATAAGTAGTTGCATAGCTTGACAGAGCATATCATATAACATCTATGCATAACTCTAGTGCAAACGCCTACCAGCTTACATGAATGTGCTGTTCAGATTTACTGGGGCAAATGCGTCGTGATGTCACAGAGACGCTTCCGTTTGGTAACTGATAAGAGGCCGGGCAAGGGCGTAAGAACCTTAGAAAGTAGGGCAAAGAGCGGCACAGCCAATAGTGTATTCATGATTTGCGCTTAAGTCCAAAGACCTGTCGCCGACATTTTCAAATGTAACTGCACTTACCCCCTCCTTCACTTGTTTACACCCGCCACTGGGATCGCCTCCGTCATCACTATCGCATACGGTACATCGTCAGTGCACCGCCACGCCATCATGGCGCCGGTCGTGCTGTTGCTACTTGTGCTGCTGAGCCAGCTGTCTCCCGCGCCCGCCCGAGTGGAGCACCGCAGCTCGAACCAGCTGTCGTCGCGCGGCCTGGACGCAACTGAGGCACGCGGCTGGGTGCGCGCCTGTTACCTTTTCCGAGATGTGCCGCTCGACCAGATCGATCCCTGGCTCTGCACGCACTTGCTGGCCTTCTTCGGCCACGTGACCGCCGACGGCCTGCCGCAGGTGAACGATGCCGACCTGGACAAGCTTGCGCAACTGGTGCGCATGCGCCAGCAACAGAACCCACTCCTTCGCGTCTGCCTGACGTTTGCCGCCAACAACGACGCGTTCGCCACGGCGGCCGCGTCCAACACTAGCCGCGCCAGCTTTGCCGCCGCCGCGGCACAGCTGTTGCAGCAGACCGACCTGGACGGTCTCGACTTCGACTGGGAGTTCCCCGCCTTCTTCCGGCCGGGTCACGAGCGGAGGGACTTTTCGCTGTTGCTGGAGGCGACGGGCGCGGCGCTGCGCGCGCTGCCGCGGCCGCGCCTCCTCACCGCCGCCGTCGGTGGATCGTCAACCATCGTCGACGTGTCGTACGAGGTTCCGCGCATCGCCGCCGCGCTCGACTTCGTCAGCGTCATGACCTACGATTTCCACTTCTACAAGACGCTGGAGCCGGCCACCGGCCACAACGCGCCGCTGTTCGCGTCGTCGCGCGACCGCGGCTTCCTGGCGACGCTCAACACCAACTTCTCGGCCCACATGTGGCTGGATCGCGGCGTGCCACGCTCCAAGCTGCTGCTGGGCCTGCCGACCTACGGGCACGGCTGGCACCTGCGCGACTCGGCCGTCCACGGCCTGCTCGCGCCCGCCTCCGGACCCTGGAAAAGCGGCTACGTCACCCTGGCGGACGTGTGCCGCCTGCTGCAGGGCAACGGCACGGCGGAGTGGGACCCGTTCGCACTGGCGCCGTACGCCTACAGCGGTGCCGAGTGGGTGAGTTTCGAGGACGCGCGCAGCATGGCGGCCAAGGCGAGCCTGGTGCGCGCGCTCGACCTGGCCGGCGCCATGACCTACAACCTGGACAACGACGACTGGGGCAACGTGTGTGGCCGCGGCGCCTTCCCGCTCCACCGGCTGGTCCGCGACATGCTGCCCTCGCTGGAGCAAAACTGAAGCAGTCGGGGACACACCGCGCCCATTGGATCAGCGCGTTCCTAGTGGCTGTCCTCGCTGGACCAGCGTAGGCCTGATCGCTGATGGGTGGATCGCGAAATGGAGAGCATTGAAATGCATGCTTACAATTGGATGTCGAAAATACACTTAATGCAGCGTGCCACAGAACCATCGGAAGCTACAAACCTGATGCATTTGAACGAAACGAAATTAGCATATTTCGACTCGGCAAAGAAGTGAGTACCGCACTGGCAAAGATGCGGGTTATTGCGTGCGGTCGCCCCACGTGCTTACGTTCAAAAACCACGGATCCGGCAGTTTCCTGGAATTGTACAGGATTCATGTCAGATCTCAGCAGACCACGCACATAACGTTATGAAACCAACTGCATGATGTAGGTGCATGTGCCGCCTGCAAACCGCCCATGCCGTCCATCACTGTCCGATCCGTAGTGACGTCAGCAATTGATCGTGAGGCGACCAATGTCGCGTTTTTTTTCAAATCGATCCCGAAAGCAGCACACTGTTGTCCAAACCAAGTGAGAGGCAGACATAAAATGGCAACAGCCCGAAACGGAACCCGCCGCAAATTTGCGCATTTCGTCGGAAAAACCAAGGCCGTTTGCCGGCCTACCGCTGGCTGTGATTTGGCTATGCAGTCGTGTGGTTCTGCTGAAGGTCCTCCGCGGAGGAAATGTATTCCACAGGTGCGTGACTGCGCACCGAGCAGCCGAGGTCGTGATAACACGGCGCATAAATATACGGCTGAGGCAACAGCATGCGTTTGTACCAGTGAGCTAGAATCGCTTTTGAACTAGGGCGGGAGTGGGCAATTCCATCGCAAAAAGACTGTCTGGGAGTGAAAAATTAAATTTACAAGAGATGAAGCTTATGACCTAGTGACTGATGCTTCAGCAAACAAAGACATCTATTTCAGCGTGGCATGGACGTAATATCATAAACCTGACAAAACTGTTTTGTTTTTTAACATCTTAGGCCATTAAAGTGAAACAGAATACATTAAAGTATAGCAACTTCATGACAGTCTTATGAGCATAACAAATGCATTAACAACAATAAGTTGATGCGGCATTTTGTCCTTCCCTTCCACATCGCTTCTAGCACAAAACAAAGCAAAGGAATCCAACAACAAAATAACAACAGAAAATTCAACAAGCATACAGCACTCAAACAAAAACAAAACAAAAAAACCTTAGACTCCTACACATCAGCCCATCACCAAGTCAAACAAAATACACATACCTCTGGCTTCTGTTAAGATGGGGTAGGGGGAAAACAAACATTTTGTCACTGTTTCTTACAAAATACCAATGCTTATTTCCGTGAAACTAGCCTAACTATGCCTAACCTAAGGAGGTCTTACTTCATCTCACCCTGTCTAACCTGTTGGAATCACAGCAGCAGTTGTGAGTTACTGATTCCTGTACAATTCCTATTGCCACTTGCCATGCACTTAACCAACTTAACCTTACTTAGAGTAGCCCATATGTTGAACATCATCTCAAGTCACCGATCTGTTGACAGCGGCACATATGATAAAAACATGATAAAGCTCATTTTTTGGCTGGTTTCAAATTTCATTTTTAATTCAGCTCATCTGTGTATGTTTGTTGACATCAGGCAAAGTTGACAATACACAAATGAAAACACCTCAAATCACTTTGAACAACTTATTCTGATAGTCATGGTTAACCTCTGTCAAGGGCAATAATGGGTACGCTCCACAAAACAATCGCTCTTCTCCAAAAGTAACACAACTTTTAGATGACCATGCCCGTTTTGATGCTTGCGTTTTCAACTGCAGCAACGGCATCTTTTTAGGCTTGTTTATTCATATTTTATGACATAGTTTGAGATGTTGGCTTCACATTTTAAATGGGATGGTCTGACTATTTGGTTAATGCTGACATTTATCTCATATTATAATTGCTATACAGCTTAGGGTATCCCAGTGTAAAAAATATGGTGCATATATACAGTACAGTCATTTGCCAGTCAGCAAACCACGGCAACTATGGGAAACATCTGGTTAAAACAGCCATGAGGAACTGCTTCACGAAATTTGGGGCGAATGATCAAGAATCTGGAAGAAAATAAGCCCATTGCATGCATTGTGGCATCGTAATTTGTCTTATGACAAAACTCGATGGATTAAAATAGGAAATGGCTAACACTGGTTACAAGTCATGTGTTGAGAGCAGGTAAGGTAAGCAATTACTTGGTCCACAAGAGACTTGCTGGCTTTTTCGGGGCACGCTTCTTCCTGGTCCCCTAAAACAGAGTCAGTGCCACGGTTTGCACAGTTTGCTGACAGACAAAGTCATCCCACTCACCCCCCAAATATAAATATCAATCACGTCCACCAACCTACGAGATTACAATGCGGAACAAGTAAGAGGTGTGCGTGATAAACATTTCTGGAGGACAAAATTTCGCCATCAAACACTTATGTGTCAACTGCGTTAGGTCTGTCCCAAAGCTCCATATGGCAGCATAAGGATGGTCTTGTCAGGGGGCCTGGGGGGTAAGGCACTTGAACGGCTTATATTTATAATTATCGACCACCGCCATGAGCCAAAAGATGGCTAACCGAGGGTTAAACAGGGCAAAAATGGCGTTAAAAAGTTCCATGCTCCAACGTGTCTCCTTCATTCCCAGTGAATTGTTCACCCTTGGGTGCATATCAAACATATTTGGGCGGGTGGCGAATTAATCCAATTTATGTATAAAATACGTGCAAATTTGCAGTTGGAGCATCTTGCGGAGAAATTGTTCAACATTTCAAGCAATAGATGGTACCTTTAAAGGCAATGGGAAAGGAAAGAAGAATGAAGTAGTATCACACTCATATGATACAAAGAAAAACAAAATTAGTTAAATAAATATAAAGGCTGATGCTTCTTTGGAAAAATTCCGTTATCAACTGATTTAATTTAAAATATGTTAGAATAAGTGCTCAAATGATGATATTCATCTTGTAAATACAATTCAGAAGACATTTCTTGAATTTTTCACTCCTGTATTTCGGAAGTGATGCAATTTAATGGTCAAGCTCCTTCATGAAAAATAAATACGTGAAGCAAGATTATCTGTCAGGCCTTGGTGGTGTTTGCACCAGGCTCTGCTGTCGTGGTGTGGCGGTGAGACAAAAAATTGGGGATTCGTGAGGACCTCGCATTTGTCACACTGCTGCCAGTTGTGATGCATTTTGTAAACAAACCAAACTTGATGCGTGCAAGCGGCTGGAGTCGCTGGGGGGTCTTGGGCTTGAAGGTACCTGGTGCCCTTGCTCTGTGCATACATAGACATGATTCAGATGTGGGTTAGGCGGGACATAGCCGTAGGTGTCCAGGTTCTGTGGAGCCCCGTTTATGTTTAGTGGTTTCAAGTGAGCTTGGTTTTGGATGACATCTGAAAACCTCGGAAAGGGAAATATGTGTTTGCCATGTGCGATTAGACAGCGTCAGGCATGAGCGAAAAATTCACATAGAATAGGTATGGGGAAAAGGAGTGAAAAATTCCTCATCACAGGGTGCTGCTTTACACCCAAAGTCGGCAATTCTAGGACACTGGGTTGTACTGTCACACAGATGCGTTCTGCACATCTGAGCACATATCGCTTAGGTGTGCAGAGGGCCACGCACTGTGAACCGAATGGAGAAGCTCTCTAACTGTCACGCGTGTTTCTGATGTCAAAACGAGCGTCCCACCTTTGGAACAGATCTAAAAAAGATGGCCTTTTGAACTATCAGGAACCTGCATTAATATAAATAGCACCGGGAAGAGATGCTGCATCGCTAACAAAAAAAAATGCTCGCAAACGATTTCATTTATTTTCAAGTCCAAATTACCAGATAGCATGTCAGATCAGCACCGTGTTTCTTTCTTCTTTTAGTATCCCATGTGTCATGTCGTGTATGCGTATTTCTGAAGCTTTGGTCGATTTTAGCACATGCAAGACAGCTTTCACCATTGTGAGATTCAAAATCTGGCGGAAGACTGGAAAATTAAAGAAAGAATCTCTTTGTTTCGTGTTGCTATAACTGTTAATTTGACCAGAGGACATCCCCAACATTGACAGAAAAGATAGCCCAGTCTAATCTCTGGGACTACAACCCCTACCATCGCTGTTCTTGCCCCTGAGATTGTAAGCGCGAAGGTCTGGTCTGATTCATGTTATTTGTTTCATTAGTCGATTCTGCAAAAATGATAGTTCTCAGCCGAACACGAGCTAGCCTATTTTTGCTTTTGACATGATTTCGATTCACTCCATTCAACACTCCTGAAACCCGTTACGATTTCCGGGTAAATAGAATACTAGGGGCACATTACCATTACCGGTCCAGTGCTGAAGGACCATTTCAACCCAGCGAGGATGCATTCCCGCTGTCGCTCTGGGGACACGGGAGCGGGTGCCCTGATCGATCCCGAGGTCCTTAGAGGGCCACATCATACCATCTTGCAAGTTGAACTCTATGAACATTCGCTGAGGGGACTCTAAGCAGTCATGCAAAAGAGCTAAGGCGATATAAAAGGGCAGAATGGAGCATTTGGTACTTGAGAAACCTCAGGTTCGCCCCTAAATATCTCGTTGGCCACACATTATAGAATAAGATGCTGTCATCTACGACCTGAAACAATCGTGCCCAGTGAGGTATGAGTAAGATGGCTGGTGAATTAGGTAAATCGGCATGCATGCATGTTTAAGGTAGCTCAAAAGCAAAATAAACATAAATTAAATCTGAAAAAGTGAGGGAGCTATAGTTAACGTCGCTGACCCCGCCCACTTTGAGAAGTGGGGGTCATGGCACCCCTGCCCCCTCCTCTGTTCCTACACCCGTGGCTCTACTGCTTATGAAAGTGTAGCCACGTATCTTAGGCAGGGGCTTTGGAACTACGTTCAAGTTGGGGGTGCAAACTCAGATATGCCAAAATCATCGTCGATTTTAGCGAGTGGGCCCTCTACAGGTCCAAATCGGCCCTCTACAGCTAAAA